GTGTAACCCTACAGGAACAATCATTTAAGACGATGTTCCATTGGTATACAACTCTGGTCAAACGCTATAGGATGAACAAATCTGTCACTGACGTATGCTGGAGGGGCTGCGGAGCTAGGGGGACATACCTACATATGTGGTGGGAGTGCCCATACATAATACGATTCTGGAATGTAATTAAAGACCTGTTGACCCAGGTGTTTTCCAGAGTTCCAGACCTAGACCTTTGGGTTTATCTACTGAATAGATCCATTGAGGGATGAATCAGAAAAGAACAAATACTGATACATAAAATTACATTGGCCGCACGAAGAGCAATAGCATACACTTGGCTAAAACAAGTTACACCACATAGCAAGCGTGATAGCTAGAATCAAAGAGATCCATTTGATGGATAACCTGACTGCTAGAGTGCGGGGAACCACTAGAGCATTCCAAAAAGTATGGGAACCATGGGACAACAATCCTCTGGGCAGTTAATGGTGGAGGGGGTGACAGGGTCTCATCCACCTCCTGGATTACACAACATTGCGGGACAGGCCCATTGCCCCCGACGGGGAAACAGGGACCTAGATCCCCTTTTTGTCCCCCCCCCTTACCTAGCCCCCTTCCCTCCTAGCAAATGTTTCAGCTCATGATGACACTGCAAACTTTGTAAAGATATTTTGACATACTATGTTGCTAGTTTATGTTTCTGTTAAAATGTGCAATTATATCAAGCCATGACAATGTATTTTTGTGAATAGATGTAATATATGTCGACTTTCTGCACAATAAAAATAAAGAATTAAAAAAAAATAATAATTTGGCATTGCTTGGCGCACATCTGGTCCCCAGTGCCGTTCCAAGGAGCTGGAGTCAGGGCCAGCACGTCCATAAGGCGGCAGTGGCCCAGGGGGCGCTAGATTAGAGTGACCAGCAGGAGGTGGGTGCACAGTGCTCTCTCCGACCAGTCACTCAGTGTAGCGTGGCCAAGCGGAGCGGACCACAGAACAGGAGGATTTGTTTCCGGTACCCGGCCGGACTGAAAGGAAGTGCTCACTGACTGACAGATCACTTCCCGTCAGTCCGGCTGGGTACGGGAAACTGAAGCTCCTGTACCATGGTCAGGGGAGGGAGGGGAGAGGAACATTAAGGGACAGGGGAGGGGACAGGAACACTAAGGGACAGGGAAGAGGACCACTAATGGAGAGGACCATTAAGGGAGGAGGGGGGAGAGGACCATTAATGGACATGGAGGGGAGGGGAAAGGAACACTATTGGACCTGGAGGGGAGTGACCAGCAGGAGGTGGGCGCACAGTGCTCTCTACGAGCAGTCACTCAGTGTAGCGTGGCCAAGTGGAGCGGACCGCAGTACAGGAGGATTTGTTTCCGGTACCCGGCCGGACTGAAAGGATGTGCTCACTGACTAACAGATCACTTCCCGTCAGTCCGGCTGGGTACGGGAAACTGAAGCTCCTGTACCATGGTCAGGGGAGGGAGGGGAGAGGAACATTAATAGACAGGGGAGGGGACAGGAACACTAAGGGACAGGGAAGAGGACCACTAATGGAGATGACCATTAAGGGAGGAGGGGGGGAGAGGACCACTAATGGACATAGAGGGGAGGGAAAAGGAACACTATTGAACCTGGAGGGGAGAGTGGCACACAGGGGGACCTGAGTGGGGAGAAAAACACACAGAGGGACATGAGGGGGGAGAAAGACACATAGATGGGTCTGGGGGTAAAAAAGATGCACAGAGGAGCTGGGGATGAAAGCGACACAAACAAGGGCCTAGGGTGGAAATACAAAGGGGCTGGGGGTGAAAGAGACACAGAGGGGCTGGAGAAGAGGAAAAAAGACACAGGGGGCTGGGAGAGAAGGTGGCACACAAAGAGGCTGGGGGGTGTAAGACACACAAAGGGGGGTTGTAAGAGATACACAAGGGATGTGTAAGACACACAATGAGGAAAAATAGGGGGTAAGATACACTTAAGGGGGTAAGACCTTTAAAAAAAGGGAATAAGAAACAAAAGGCGGGTTAAGAGGCACACAGGTGCACGGAATGGTCCAAGGAACTAGTTCTCCTGCACATCACCTCGCGATCCATATCTGGTTACAAGAAGTCCATCCTACGTCACCTACTGAATGCAGCTAAAGCCCTTATCCCTGTATATTGGAAACGAACTGAGGTCCCCACGGTTGCAGAATGGCGAAACAGAGTCGGAGACATACAGTTGGCGGAAGCACTACAGGCATCCCTGACGGGTCGGGGGTCCAGGCACGCGGAGATGTGGCAACCATGGTTCGTCTACCAGGCTGGAGGGCACTAAAGGTCTCGTGAGGGGGGAGGGAGTGACGGTGGACGAGGAGACAGATCACGCGCCTACCCCGCCAAAGCCATGGGGGTTGGGACCACCCCATCACTGGAAATATAATCCCTGGGCAGATGAAACCAACATCGGCCCGCCGACCCAACCCTCCCACACACATTCCGAAACGCTGAAAATACGTGACCCAACCGAGACCTCCCTTCTCGCACGCGACTATAACCACTGGGCACCCACGGGGCGCGACATGGGGACAAGGGGGGGGGGGAACCTGATAGGACCGCTACTTTCTTTTCTCCCTTTTCGACTCTCTTTCCCATGCTGACCCCTCTTACATGTCTAATACACAATGCACACGCCTGGGGGACAGGGGGAGGAGGGGGAAGCCAAGAGTCAAGAAAACCAAAAAAAAATAAAAAAAAAAGGAATACATAATACTGGCACTATTATCGGTACATCGAATTGCGGGACATGGGAACACACCCATAGAATAACCAAGCCTAACCTTAAGACCAAAGCACCTACGCTCCTTTCATGCCAGGAGCTAGTTAACTATGTCCAGCCTATTATTAGGCACTCCTGCTACAAGGTATACTGTGTCTTATGAAGGCACCCGACTTAGAGCCACGCTTTATGTTAAAAGACCGCTTACTAGCAATAAGGATGTTACATACTATACATATGTACGTACGCCAAAACAATGACGGTTGTCACTCTACATACTTTACCTTTCTGTTATCCTATGTACGCCTACTGTTAGTTACGTAACTTATCGCTGTAATTAAATCCTGTCAGGAGACTTGGTTTTGTGGGCACAAAAAATGTGACTCAAAATATGGAAATATCGCTACAATACCCTTGTCTTCTAAGTAGGCCTGCGAGCCGAATTCTTTCTGTAACCCTCTCTTTTCTTCAATAAACAGATTTTCAAAAAAAAAAGAGGCACACAGGTGAAGATGCTTTTTGGGGGGGCAGGGTGCCAAAAATCATCTTTGCCTGTGTACCCAAAAATCCTTGCACCGGCCCTGTCTGGAGGTAAAATTGGTTATCACAGTAAAAAAAAAAATATTATGCAAAATTAGGGTTATAACATCCTAAATATATTTTATAAATCAGGTTTAATCCAGAGGTCTCTAGAAAGAGGGCTACTGTCTCCAAACCCTTCTCATGACTAATAAGGGAGTAAAGGGAAGAGATTCACCAGGATGTCACTCTCCCTCCAAACCACCCCCTGTAAGATATCCAACCCCTTCACTATATTTATTAAATATGTCTTAGTGCCCTGTACCAATGGCTGTATAAATGTGTCTATATACTCAGAGAGGGGGTCAGATATAGATCTAAGGCAGCCTCCCCCCTCCACCCCCTGAGTATATTAGATATATTTCTACAGCCATGGCAGAAGGGGCTCTGGTACATGTGAGTTTTTCTAATCAAGGGGAATATGAGAGGATTTTTGATTATTTGCAATGTGTATACATGTTTTTTATTTATAGCAAAAGTGAACATTATTGCACTAGGTGTGGCACTTTGTGACAAACTCACTATTTATCCTGTTCTCAAGACATTTCCTTCCTAGTTCATGGTATAAGTTTCCCCGCACTCTTTTATGTTTCCCCAGTTCAACATCCCCAATCTACCAAACACCGACCAACCCCCTGGCTCATTAACTATAAACTAACCACAAACTTAAGTGCTCTCTCTTGTCACACGAACGCAGGCAGCGGCACTTGGTCGTCGAGCGTATTGAACTCAAGCCATATACATCCTCGTGCAAGCCTTGGTGATCATGCGTCGACACCTGCTTCTTTGTCCGATAAGACAGGAGAGCGCTGTTCACTTGGATTGTTCGCACAAACTAAGCGTACAATCGCTACCTATGAGCCAGGGGAACGTTCGACTTTTTTTTTAGTTTCTGAACTCCCGAAAGTGACCAACCGCTACCACTTTTTCTCTGGAACTAATTTGGACAGAGGCCACATGTGCAGTCAGTCAAAACTTTACCCCGGTGGCGATTCAGCTGTGTTCGTGGGATCTGAGTGCAATTTGGATATGTTGAGGGCTCATCTCCAGGCTATCGGAAGATTTAATGCTTGTGGGGCTTCATATATGTTATGTGTATTTTTTTGAATTTGACAATTTTATTTTGCAATAACAAGGAAGGAGAAGGGGTACAGAAGGCAAGAGGGGTCGGTTATGTCAAAACAAAGAAGTTTTGTCGCACAAAATGACATGGTATTATGGAGTAACATGGGTATAATGCTGAGGCAAGATAATACAGTATAATAAAGGATAGTGCATGATAATACAGAGACCTGATGGCCCAGCATGCCCGAAACACTCAAGGCTTCATAACATCATAACTTGGCATGTGTACCTGGGCACTGTACCTCCACTTTGGATCGGATATAACTTGGGCGTGTAGATCGACACCACTTGTGCGGTATGTGTTGTTCAACAAGAGGGTAAGGCTAGTTGGGTCGGAGGAAGGGTGATATGCGTGTGTGTGAGATGAGTTGGTATGAGGATGTATGTGTAGTAGGGCGTGTATGTAGTGTAGGCGTGTAGATGTGACTCAGGTGTGTAGGTAAGTGAGTGAGTGCGAGCCAGCCAATGCGTGTGTGATGTCTTTCATATTGCCTCCAGTCAGGGAGGTGAGTCATCCAGGTCAGGGGCGTGTTATTGTCGTTACAGCTTGCTGTTATTTCTATCCCATATGGTCCACGCTGTGGTCCAATAGGTGTTGTTCCGTCCTGTTTTCCTTGCTGCAAGTTCATAAGTCTTAGTCGTTTCCACAGCTGCGATGCATTGGTGGATCGTTGGAGCAGTTGTTTGTTTCCATTGTCGGCTTATGACGATGAGGGCCGCCATACAGATGTGATATAACAAATATTTGGTATGAATGTGAGGCGTTTCAGGGAGCAGAAGTAGCAGGAACAGTTCCGGTAGTAGGGATATGCGCATGTGGGTGCATCGTATTGCTAAGTCCAGGACTTGTGACCAGTATTGTTGTAGAAGTGGGCATTGCCACCATATGTGTATGAAGGTGCCATGGTCCCCCTGGCAGCGCCAGCATGTGTCAGGCGCTTTAGGGTAGCTATGTTTAAGTCTTGAGGGGACCAGGTACCACCGGTACATCAGTTTGCGTGAAAGTTCCGTATGGGATGCACAGAGGGTCAGTTTTTTATTGGCCCGAAATATGTCTGTCCATTGTTCGTTTGTGAGTGTGTGCCCGAGATCGCGTTCCCATGCCACTTTGAAGGACGGTGGTTTAGCAGGAGCATCCACATTTTCGGAAGTGTAGACCAAGGAAATGAGTTTGGTTGCCGGCTTAGTCTTCGTACATATCTCTGTTATTCTAAGCCAGTATGGATCAGATGAGCTTGTGGTGTGTTGCGGTTTTTGGAGGTTTACCCAGGATTGTAGTTTGATGTATGAGTAGGTCGCCGTCGTGGGTAATGTGAATTCATCGCAGAGATCAGGGAAAGGTTTGAGGCTGTCGCCTCGCAGCACTTGCGATAGTGTGGAGATGCCATGCCTGAGCCAGAGTTTATGATTGAAGTCTGGGATAAATTGCTTCTGTTGGGGTTGCTGGCACCAGGGGCGATGTTGCCCCCCTCTTTTTGCGGTAGCTATCCCATATAGAGAGGGTTAATGCAATTGTTGGTAGCAATGTTATGTGTGTTTTAATGGTTTTATGTTTTAATGTTTTTTTGGATAATATTTTGTACCTCTAGTGCCTAGGAGTTAATTGGGTTAAGCAAAAGCAGGCTCTTTTTTCTCCCAGACACAGAGGTACCTGGGCAGGCTTACTGTACAAGTGAATGGAGACCCCATGCTGGGGGTCTGTATATATGACTTGGCCCCTGGGCCATAATAAAACAAATTCTTCTTGTACCCTTCATCAAGTCTTGGCTGATGTTTGGGTATGCCAGAGCTATAATCACATTCACTGCTTCACCTTGGGACTCAGGAGATTTACAAAGGATATATATAGGGAATCCATTACACACTTTATTTGTATATTCTATCAATATTGCACTTTGTATATTTGTACTTTATACAATTTTCAAGTGCATCACTAAGTTTCTGCAGGGTAATTTTCTATAAACACTAAGTGTGTTAAGTGCATGCAGTTTGAAAAAAAATCAACTAGAGTGCACTTTATAAATTATTCAAACGCCTTGCACTTTCGTTGGTTTATCATTAATATTTTTAGTTAGACATAATATGTGAATTTGTTCTTACATCCCTTGATGGTGTGAGGCTTTACATTTATTACAAGAAGAATGCATTCTCGTGTAATTCAGTAAAATATATAAATTAATAAAATATGTTTCCATAGTGATACATATTGCAGGACATAATTTCATGTAAACATATGCCTTGTGTAAAGCACTAGGTGTAAGCATCCATCATGGTGTTTAAAGGGACACTCCAGGCACCATAACAGCTTAATTGAGATGAAGTTTGTTATGCTGCTCAGAGTGGTCCTTTAAGTGCATAATGTACAGTTATATGGGGTGAAATAGGAAAGAACACAATTTATAAGAAAAGAGATTGAGGTGTGGTATAGGACACATTTCTTATATCTTTCTTTTTTTAATTTTATATATATATATATATATATATATATATATTTTTTTTTTTTATTTTTTTTTTTATTGTATAAAGCAGGTAGATGAAATATAAGAATTTAGACAAGGTGTCCATAAGAAGCCGCTATACAAAGACATTAATTTCATGTTTATTGTATAAACTATTTACATTTGAACATTGTCCAGCTATAGCTACAAATCTAAATATTTTAAACCATACTGTTTTGTTATATGTTTTCACTGTTTATGACAGTATTGGTAAATATATACAGTACATGAACTATAACACCTAGCTGGAGAAATATGAACTTAAAAAGACAATCTGGGGGCGGAGCTTGACCATCAAGCAGATCAGACGTGGGGTGCACGAGCTCCTGTCTATCTGGCCAATTTTTGGATACTTCTCCCGGCCAACCATCTAAACTACCCACAGATGAACACTACCTGTGTCAGGTGTTCCCGGACAAACAAATTGAGACAATCCTGGAGTCTATAAGTCCCCAGGAACCCAAGATACACTGCTGTGGCCTACTGGGAAAGGAGTTGGGGAGAGGCAGCCAATCTCCTCATCCTTCAGTTCCCTGTACAGACCCACTACACTCCCCCCCCCAGACTGACGGGGGATATCCTGGTCCCCACCAAACTGCCATAAGCTATTCTAGCTGCACTTAGCATTATTTCCAGGTAGCAAGCCTATAGCACATCGACTATACAAGACGGCGGACGCCACTCCAACTGATGTGCAGAGTCGGTACCCACTTCCTCGTGGCTACTTGGATGAGATCTTTAGAGTCTTCTGGGAGAAACTACAGGAGCATGCTAACGCCACCCTAACTAAAGGGCGAGAGGATGAGCATGGAAACGAGAGGGCCACCCCAGTGCACTGTAATCTCACACGTGTCTAGCCATTCGGCTGTTCGCCTACCCAGGTCTAAAACCTCCAGAGGCAACATCTCTCAGCAACTTCCGCGCAGATAGATGTTTATACACCACAAGCTGCAAGCAACCTCTGGACATTCTGAATAACCCCGGCGAGTCAGTGAGATTGTCAGAACCAGTGGACTGATGATGCCAGTTTACTTTCCAGCCTGGGGTGAGGGGAAAGCTCTGCTCCAATCCTTCCCTACTCTAACCCTCAAGAGCTTTTCTACACGCACACCTCTCATACCGCTTTAAGGAGTTGGCTGATCCAGGCCATGGGCACTCTGACTAAGATGGGCTCCCTTATATGAAGGGCAGACACTATCTAGTTTGCAATATCTATGATGAGCACTACATATAACTTATTTTTCTTTCACTGCTCTCTTTTTTCTGTTCTTTTTTCTACTTTCTGTTTGGTATATGTAGTGCAGTAATACCATAATGTCACAAGTTCCAGTGGCTAATTAACACATATGTTTATATTCAGCATGTTGAACTAGCGTAGAATTTAGCACCTACTTTATTTGATCAGCATGTCTAGATTAATGTGTTGCAAGTTCACCTGGCAGGTATAGGAACATTTCTAACTGACTACATTGCTATGGTTCAACTAACATCACTCATTCCTGAACCTCTCTCCTGATATACATCTAACTTATTGTACCTACCAGCTAAACATGCCTGCTTAGCCTGTTATTTGTGTTATTATTATTTACATAAAAACTATGCAGACTCAATAAATGCCATGCTAATGTAAAACTATGCATATTATGGAAATGCTTGTTCTCACTATTGTGGCACTGCAAGCAGGATTATAATTTATCGCACAGCAAAAATAAAGAATGATAAACAAAATAAATTTTAAAAAAAGCCAGTCTGAGCAAATAAAACAGTTAATGAGGTGGTTTTGGTGTATTGAACAAAAAGGGATGGAACGTCTCAGCTGTAAAAAAAAGAAAAAAATCTGTAGTGAAGTAGGATTTTAGGCAATTTAGAAATTATCTTTGAAAACTTGTAAAAGCATATTTTTCAAATGTTATTGTTCAAATGAGTTAAAACAAAATTATTTTGTTGCGTATATCTGCAGTTTAAGGGTCTCTTGTGCCAATGGGGCCTGTGATCATTCATTGGTAGTAAAATTGTAAACTACCTGTTTTACATCTTTGATACGCTTGGAGCTTCTGTTAGCACTACTAAACTAAATGTCGCAGTGCAGGGCCAGCTCATTGGCTAAGAGCAAAATGGCTCCTTGGTGGTGTTAGACACTACGAGGTTCTTGGCTATTTTACCCAAATTCTGCTCTGTAGCTCACTCTCACAACATAACATCAATAAAGGACCTAGGCAAGACACTGCTTATGAATACAACAAAAAACATGAATCTTAAAAATGTTTAAGAGAGAGACAGATAGTTTCAAAGAGGGAGAGAGACTGTTAGAGAGGGAGAGCCATGGAAGAAGAGAGAACCAGATACTGGGGGACAAAGTCAGAGAGGAAAAGAAAGCCAGAGTGAGAGGTCGTACATTGACTCCTGTGCCTTGCTTCCATGCATAGTTAAACATCACATCATATATGTAAAACATATAATGTACATCACATCATGTACGTTAAACAGACTCATATATGTGCCTGCTGGGCTGTATTTTAATTTAATTAAGGTTGAGCCCCTTTATTATTTAGATTTAGTTATGACACAGAGGAGAGTTGGTTGGTTTCCCTGGCAGACCATGAGAGCTGACTGCTGATTGGAGAGATAATATGATTGTGACCATCACTAGTGCAGTGATTTTGTTGTTTAGGGCAGCCTGGCAGGACTGCTTCAGTGTGTGAGACTGGACGAAACGAACATAGCACTGGGCACTTCTCCCCACACAGCAGCACACCACTGACACAGTTATTTCATGCCCCTGCTATCTGCCGAATGGACCACGCCAGTGCTTGGAGACAGATTGCGATTTTCAATTTTGCAATCAGATCACAGCCCACAGCAAATACAAATTCAGTTTATTTGTAAAGTACTCTGTACTACTACTCTCTAAGGGCACAGCAGGGAGGCAGATTGCTCTCAGGGCAACCTCATAGATTTACATCGCCAGGCTGCCATCATTCTAAATGCAGTATGATCTGCATCAGTTATTTATTTATTTATAAAATATTTTACCAGGAAAGAAACATTGAGATTTCTCTCGTTTTCAAGTATGTCCTGGTACATAACCTCCATTTTCTCTCCCCACCACCTCTACTGGCATATTGGTAAGGGAAGAAAGGCTGAATTTCTGATGGCAATCACGAATAGCGACTCTAAAGGCTGGATTTACATCTCAGGTGCCTGTAGGCACATTATCTTCCCGAAAGAAAGGTAACACATTTGTTAATATTGTGTGAGAATACTGTGTGTAGTGTATGAATGCTACGATTAGAGTAGTTAGAGAGGTTATGAATACACTGGCAGCATGTGTGCTCACTGAGCAGGGTTTCAGCTACTACTCTGGAGTGTGACTCCCATCAATCATGTACAACAGCCCCCTTGGGGCCTTAAGTACCAACCAAATGGGCGTGTCTCTAACTGTGTTTATACATACATCTGTGTGCATGAGAGTGACTGTGTGTGTCTATGTGTTTTATTCCACAATTGCTGGAATAGCATTAGTACTCTTTGGCATTCTAGCTGCAGAGAGTGTGTGTTTAGGGAATTTAGTGTGTGCATATGCGTAGGATATAGTGTGTGCATAGGGGATCCAGAGTGTGTATGTCAGGAATGTTGTGAGTGTGTAGGTGGTGCAGTGTGAGTCTACAGGGTATCTATTGTGTGTGTATGGGATCCAAGCAGGCAGGTTCAGAATCACCATAGCTAAGCACAATAGATTTAAAGGGCTGTATGCAGTGTTGCATATTACCTCAAGGTGTTAAACCGTTCTCGAACACCAATCTCAACAATCCACGGGCTGCATAACAGGTTCTGAAATCTCAGTTTCAGGAAGTCTGGAGTGCAGCTGACACGCTCAGCCAATCATTTGGGGTTAAACCATTTAATAATTATTTAACCTCTTGAGGTAAGAGTGCACCAGGGAGCCTCCTGGCACCATAACAGCTTCATTTAGGTTAAGTACATATAGCCTAGTTTACTTTCAGACTTAGTGCATCAGCATTATGTTGCTCTCAGATGTGGTATTGAAATGGGGTTAATTTTACAGGAGTAGCTCATCTAGCGTGGCCTTATGCCTGGTCTCACGATGCGTAACTTTTACATCATCAAATGGGCTATTATTCAGGCTGTGAAATCACAATGCCATTTAGTAAATAGCAAATAGATTTATAGGTTATATGAACGCTCACTTTCTGGATGGAAGTCTTTAACAATTGTCATCACAGCAAGGTTACTCCAGCTGGTAAATAGCAATATTGGTGTACCTTTCATGGGACAAAAATAAAACACCCTGTTAGGCTCTAGTAAATCAAGAACATAGTTTATTGTGTTGTCTCCAGGACCTATTACACTTGCTTCAGCATTATGCAATTTTTATATTACATGATTTTAATTTTTTTACGCTCATGATACATGCGTCCACATTATATATCCTCTATATACACACGTATATGTACAAAACATACATTGTCTGCATTTTCTATTTTGCAGGAACCTATCAACATATAACATCAATAGTCCGTTAAAATGTTTATTCTTTTATTTTATGATCTGAGGCATGTCACTCCAGGCCTGAGACTTCTTCTTAGCTAACTCCATCCATGACGGTTCTTCAGACACGGACTGGGTATTTCGCCTGACTGGAGGTTTTTGTTCCTTCTCCGCTGAAAAAGACAAATATTCAGTTATGGTGGGAAATGTGTGTTACACCATCCACAACATGTTTTACATCACAGGTGAATGGTAAATGTTTTATGAAATGTTTCAACATGTAGCATCCTTATTGAGAAAAACTGTTTAAGAAATGCTTTTACATGTGTTCTTAATTAAGAAGTATCACTTCTACTGTATGCTATTCTTTAAAGGATCTTTTCAATGTGTTTGAAAAGCAGCACTGTCACCACTCTGAAAAATGAGTATTTCATGGAATCTTTATGAAATACTCATCTAGACTGTGTTGGAATTTCTCTGACATTCCAACCCAGTCAAAAGATATAAAGAGACAAAGTAGGCAATACTTTGTCTCTGTATATTTCCTCCACCTGACTTTCTTAGACTCTGGGCAGAGCCTAATTGTCAATCCCGACACCTATCAGGGAATTGGCTCTGTTTATGGGGACCGCGGTATCCTCCATTGACCTCAAAGTTGTACAGGAGTGACAGATCCTGGCAAAGAGAAACAGACCAAGAAAGATGGCAGCCACCTTGAGGGACAAGTTTAGGTTAGTAAATCTTTACCTGGACTTCCGGCTACCGAACCCCCAGAGGCAATGTTACCGTCGGGTGCCTTTGTGAATTTAAAAAAGTCCCCACATGGTGTCAGTGCCGCTTAAAAGACAGCAATTGGTCTAGAAATAATAGAACACTGTTGAGCTCTCATGTTGTGTCTAACTGAAATACTTCAACAGCATTAAAGGATTACTCTGCTGTAATTGCTAGGGTGCCAGGAGTAACTTGGCCCCGTTTCCCAGTAATGAGACAACGGTTTGTTCTATTACCTGAGTGAACATGGGGTCCTGAGTGGCTGGGTATGTGCATCCAGATTCTGCAGACCTACAGAATCTAGATGCCAATCCCACTGGCCATTTATTGGATGCAACTCTGTTCATAGAAATAAGCACAGAATTGACATAAGCAAGCTGGGAATTCTTATCTTCACTGGCTATTGACGCTCCAGTTACACTGCTGGAGGTGGAATTATACCTCCGACAAAAAGTGATTAAGTGTGGTGCTAAATAGAGACATACTGCACTTACAGACTCCAGGCAATAGCAGCAGATCTAGTATCTGCAGCTACTACAAGCCCTTCATTCTTCCCCAGCACAGTCTCTCATTTGTACTGCAGAATGCCCAATTAAACACTACTCCATGAGAAGCCTTGTGTGCCGTACACATGTGTGTGCAGATGGATAGTGGATAGTACTGAACTTTAAAACTAGATAATATTCATTTTTTTAGTTCCCGAGGCTGCAGGCCACAACATAGCAGGTTTATTTACAAAATTCAGAATTTAAGAGATTGAAATCTGAATAGCAAAATGTAGGCTAAAACAACCAAGCAGCAGCTACAGCCATTTAGCCTAAATTATCCCATTCAGATTTAATTTGCTAAAATTCAGAGTTTTGTGAACAAATCTATATGCTTTTAAAATAATGTTGTTGACAAAATGTTGATTTTAAAATGTCAAGCGTCATTTGAGTGAAGCTGTAATTGAGATTTGTTCATTAGAGCACAGCATCACATCATCACAAAGCAGCAATTGTAGCGATGAAAAGTTTGCATTGCTTGGATGGCTTCCTTACAGAGTCTCATGTTTGCCTTGTTTATTAATTTAATACCTTGCCTGGTGATGCTGTGCACTGTAACTCCAAACCATTGAAGGGCCTTTAACTGTAGCAGGTAACAGTCCATGCTTTCTTGAATTCAGGTAAACCACAGTAACAAAAAAAAACCAGTGTTGCTATAAATGGTACTAATAGTACTGCTCACAGCTTGTGATGAACTAGAAATGTTAGGACTAGGGGGAACTTAGGGCTTGTGAGGATTTAGGGTTACAGGCAAGGGGATGGACATAAGAAGGTAGGATGATCTGGTTAGATTGTACCTAATATCAAGATCTCATTGACTGTAACTCCAATCAGAGCACCAAGAGTGATGGGAGTTACAATCCACAGCATTTCCATTGGCCTTGATTAAATGGACAAGCAATATAAATGTGGGACTCTATAAAGTAGCCTTACAGTCAAAGCAAACCTAAAAAATATTAACCTATTAAACGTTTGCAGCACTGATAGCCCAAACTAAGTTTTCCGACCTTGCTTCTGGGACAGTTTGTGAAGTCTATACATTGTAACTGTAAGAGTTAAAACATTTTCTTTATATATGATAAATGATCATTAATTGTTATAGATGATCAGCTATAACCTGCAGCAATGCAGTACACTAATTTAGTTTTTTTAATTTGCTTATTAACCTTCTGCAGTTTTTTTCAGTTCTCCTGTGTACTGAACTCCTGTTATGCACATTTTTGAAAACTATTTTTAACTACTTTATTAAAATTAGACAAATTAAATCACTTGTGCAAATGTACTGTTACTATATGCAAAACTTGAAATATCTCATGCAGATTATTCTAACACTTCTTATTGATGAGATGTACACCAGTTTTTTTGTTTAATTTGATATTGTTACAAATTTTGTTTACAAATGTTGGAACATTTTGTTTGCTGTACTCACATGCCATTAATTGTAATGTGTGCATCCCTATATACATATATATATATATATATATATATATACACACAGTTGTCCTCTGCATTCTTCCTTAGTCAACCGGCCAGTTCATTTCACTTCACTCATGCACTTTACATGACACCTTTCTGATAATGATATAGCCAGCGATACTATTAATGGGGTACCCAGTGACTAATAAGCCTCCACATTTGTACTTTATAAATGGCACGGTTTTTAATATACTGTATATTTATACCTGTAGCCTAGCTACACGTCATTACGCAATTCACGCACTTTTCGGTGATCACGTGTCCCGCCTAACACACCGGGTTCGAGGGATGGCACTACACACACCTGATTTGGTAAGTGTTATTATTTATTTTGTATATAACGGCTCACTTTGCACTGTTTTTGTGACATTGAAAAAGACCCTGAAGGGTCGAAACGTTGGGACAATTGGATTATATTGAGTGAATAAACGATACTTTTCTTTGCAAAGACCTGTGAGTGCACCTCTCTTAATGGATATATACATAAATATATATATATATATTTATAGTGAACAAAATTATAAATGCAACACTTTTGTTTTTTATTTTTCATGAGCTGATCTAAGATTTTTTCTATGTATACAAAAGGCCAATTTCGCTCAAATATTGTTCACAAATCTGTCTAAATCCGTGTTAGTGAGCACCTCTTTGCCGAGATAATCCATCCACCTCACAGGTGTGGCATATCAAGATGCTGATTAGACAGCATGATTATTGCACAGGTGTGCCTTAGGCTGGTCACAATAAAAGGCCACTCTAAAATGTGCAGTTTTATTGGGTGGATCCAGGGGGTTTCGAAAACCAGTCAGTATCTGGTGTGACCACCATTTGCCTCACGCAGTGCAACACATCTCCTTTGCATAGAGTTGATCAGTTTGTTGATTGTGGCCTGGGGAATGTTGGTCCACTCCTCTTCAATGGCTGTGCGAAGTTGCTGGATATTGGCAGGACCTGGAACACATTCTCGTATCCGCCGATCCAGAGCATCCCAAACATGTTCAATGGGTGACATGTCCAGTGAGTATGCTGGCCATGCAAGAACTGGGATGTTTTCAGCTTCCAGGAATTGTGTACAGATCCTTGCAACATGGGGCCGTGCATTATCATGCTGCAACATAAAGTGATGGTCGTGGATGAATGGCACAACAATGGGCCTCAGGATCTCGTCACGGTATCTCTGTGCATTCAAAATGCCATCAATAAAATGCACTTCTGTTCGTTGTCCATAACATACGCTTGCCCATACCTTTAACCCAACCATCATCATGTACTACTCAATCCACAAAGTTCACATCAGCAAACCGCTCACCCACACGACGCCATACATGCTGTCTGCCATCTGCCCTGTACAGTGAAAACCCGGGATTCATCCGTGAAGAGAACACCTCTCCAAAGCGCCAGAGACCATCAAATGTAAGCATTTGCCCACTCAAGTCGGTTACGATGACGAACTGCAGTCAGGTCGAGACCCCGATCAGGATGAGGAGCATGCAGATGAGCTTCCTTGAGACAATTTATGACAGTTTGTGCAGAAATTATTTGGTTATGCAAACCAATTGTTGCAGCAGCTGTCCGGGTGGCTGGTCTCGATGATATTGGAGGTAAGATGCTGGATGTGGAGGTCCTGGGCTGGTGTGGTAACATGTGTCTGCGGTTGTAAGGCCAGTTGGATGTACTGCCAAATTCTCTGAAACGTCTGTGGAGACAGCTTATGGTAGAGAAATGAACATTCAATTCATCGGCAACAGCTCTGGTGGCATTCCTGCAGTCAGCATTCAAATTGTACGCTTCCTCTAAACTTGCGACATCTGTGGCATTGTGCTGTGTGCTAAAACTGCACATTTTAGAGTGGCCTTTTATTATGGCCAGCCTAAAGCACACCTTTGCAATAATCATGCTGCATCTTGATAGCCACACCTGTGAGGTGGATGGATTATCTCGGCAAAGAAGTGCTCACTAACACAGATTTAGACAGATTTGTGAACAATATTTGAGATAAATAGGCCTTTTGTGTACATAGAAAAAGTCTTAGATCTTTGAATTCAGCTCATGAAAAATGGGGGCAAAAACAAAAGTGTTGCATTTATAATTTTGTTCAGAATATATATATATATATATATATATGTAAATAAATCCAAAGCTCCTAACAAAATAAATACCTGGTGCTCTGGTCACATAAAGTATAAATATTGAAAGAAATACCGGCACTCCAGGATTTGGTAAAAAAAGATAAATTCTTCTTTATTGTTACAGTTCCAAATGGACAGGATGTCCTGATGAAAGCTCTGTACAAGAGCTGAAACGTTGATCGTTTGGAACTGTAAGAATAAAGAAGAATTTATCTTTTTTTTACCAAATCCTGGAGTGCCGGTATTTCTTTTAATATTTATACTGTATGTGAGCAGAGCACCAGGTATTTATTTTGTTAAGTAAAGCACTCATTGTGTTGAGCTATTTCAATAAGGGCCGGCCCTTCTATAGCCCGCGGTGGAGCCATGGCTCCAGGCAGCACTCTGACGGGGCGGCATTTTTTTTCTAAATGTCTTACCCCCTTTAGTGTATCTTAACCCCTATTTTTCCCCATTGTGTGTCTTACACCTTCCTTGTGTGTCTCTTACAACCCCCCTTTGTGTGTCTTACTCCCACCATCCCCTTTTGTGTTTCCTTCTCTCCCAGCCCCTTTGTGTATTTTACTCTTACCAGCTTCTTTGTGTGTTTCTCTTTCACCACCAGCCCCTCTGTAACTCTTTTTCCTCTTCTCCAGCCCCTCTGTGTCTCTTTCACCCCCAGCCCCTTTGTATTTCCACACCCAGGTCCTTCTGTGTGGCGCTTTCATCCCCAGCCCCTCTGTGAACTTTCTCACCCCAAGTCCATCTGTGTGTCTTTCTCCCCACTCATGTTCCCACCTGTGTTCCTCTCTCCTCCAATCCATGTCCATTAGTGTTCCTCCTCCCCCTTACCTGTCTCTTAGTGCCCCCCTATTCCCCTTAATGTTCCTATCCCTTCTCTTTTAGTGGTCGCCCCCTTCCTTTTCCCTTCCCTCCCCTGTACTTTTGTTGTTTCTATCTCCCCCACTCCCCAGTGTTTCTCTACCCTCCCGCTTTTTAGTGTTCTTTCCCCCCCATCCCATTGTGTTCTTTTCCCCCTCCCTCATAGTGTACTTCTCCCCCTTCCCCTGTCCCATAGTGTTCTTCCCGAATCAGAATTGGACCATGAAGCAATGAGGGAAGGTTGCCTGGTCTGATGAATCACATTTTCTTTTAGATCTGATGCATGGCCGGGACCGAGTGCGCTATTTACCTGGGAAGGAGATGTTAGCAGGATGCACTATAGAAAGAAGGCAGGACAGCGGAGATAGTGTTATGCTTTGTTCAGTGTTCTGCTGGGACACCTTGGGTCCTGGCATTCATCCAGATGTTACTTGGAAACGTACCACCTACCTAAAGATTATTGCAGACTATGTACCCCACTTCATGCCAATAGTATTCCCTGATGATAGAGGCCCCTTTTAGCAGGATAATGCACCATGCCACACTGCAAAAAATGTTCAGGAATGGTTTGAGGAACATGACAAAGAGTTCAAGGTGTTGCCTTGATTTCAAAAATCCCCAGATTTCAATCCGATTGAACATCTGTGTTATGCGCTGGAACAACAAAACCAATCCATGGAGGCCGCACACCGCAACTTGCAGGACTTAAAGGATCTGCTGCTAATGTCTTGGTGCCAGAAACCACAGGACACATTTATACGCAGCGCAGTTGTTTGGCAGCATAATGGACCTACAGGGTATTAGGCAGGTGGATTTATTGTTGTAGCTGATCAGAGTATATAGCCTGCAAGTACAATATCACCAGTTAATAGATTGTATACACGTTCTCTATCTTCGCTAAGGCCAACCACAGATGTGTGGTTGCTAGGGTGACAACTTACACAGCATGTGTTTCTGTGCTTTACCCATAGGTGACTAATCTGCAAATGGTTGGTATCTTTGTGAGCAGGCTTTAATTGTGCCCTACTGGTAAAAAATAGCAACAAGGTTGTAAAGCTGTCAGTTATTAGTAGCAGCTAAATGTTCAGCAAATGTTTATGGCAGCTATTTACCACCAGGATTGGCAAGTAACCCGTTTTTGTGTTTGTCAAGCACTATTGGTGACAACAGACTCTGTTTCTCATTGTGTACAATCATCATCACAACTATGAACAGGTTAACTGTGACTGATTTCTCATCACAGATTTTTCCAGTGACTGACAGAACTGCTCAGGTATTATTTTTTATTTCCAAGAAGGGTGGGTGACACTCTCTCTGCACACATATGGTGTTACTCCACCAACCTATGAACTGTTTTTCCTTACCTCCCCTTGTGTTGTCTAGAGGAGGAGTGCAAAGAAGAAGTTAAAAGGAATAAATTATTTTTTTCCTTACCATTGATAGGATGTGACAGTGTGTTCGATCTTTGCCGCTGTTCTTTCACTTCAGCTTTGATTTCTTGTCCATGTAACTCAGGAAGCCCTGGAGCTGCAACTGATGTCTTGTTCTGGACCAAGTCACCTTGAGGCTTTAAAAGAGCCTGGAAGACAAAATTCCTGTTACAAAAATATTTGCATTTTGTAATGAACTATACATTAAATTAGGTTTTTTTTTAGTGCTCCATATGTAGGCTAAACAATACTGTATTAAAGGAACACTGCATGGTTTTTTGTTTTTTTTTTACTTTTAGTTGATATACCTACAAAGAAAATGTGCATGTATTGTTTCTGTATGACTTCTTTGGGGTATAGGAAAAAAAGAAAGCTAGCAAAATCTGCTGATCTACTGTCTGCAGTCTTTTCAAGCCCGTCTCTCCTTTCATAATAAAGACTTTGCCAGAAAAATTACCAGCCAGACCCTTCTCATTGAGAAGTCTCAGAGTTGGGAGGTGGAGCCTAACCCCGCGTGTGAATGGCAGCATAATCCTAGAGCTCTGCAGAGACTCTGCCTTATCCACCGCCATCAATAGCACCTGAGCCCCCAAAACATCAACTTACCATCAACTTACCCACACCCTCACCCATGGATACTGCCTCAATACATGGGTGGCGGACGTAAAGTTTGGAATCCTCCGTTGTGCCCTTCTTCCGCACAAGGCCTGATAAACACACAACACCATCTTCTGAAAATTTCCAATCAGAATCGAAGTCTGACATGACCGCTGCCTCTGACAAAACCTATGTGGCAGACGAGCTAGAAAAACAGCTAAACCCCCTAACAGAGGGCATGATGGACCTCGCGGCCCACACCCACATGGCCGAAAACAAAATGGATGAAATAGTAGAAGTGGTAAATGCACATGACACAGACCTGCAGGACCGAAAGGAACAGCTCCGACTCCTAGAAGAATCCAATGAGGATTTAAGCAACAGAATCTGCCGGAATAACATCCGGGTCCAGGGCGTGCCAGAATCCGTGTCCACCGAACTGCTCCCAAACATGCTGTCATCAGTGTTTCAGGGCCTGTTGCCAGACGGAACTGCAACAGGACTCCTAATGGACCACACTCACCGCGCACTGAGAGCACCCAGCACCAACCCTACCACTCCAAGGGATGTCATAGTGAAAATGCACTGGTGACCATCGCCCCACAGCTACGACCCCCAAGACCGACTCCACTCTTGCCACTGAGGAACCGTCCACCCCAGGAGAGCCAACCACAGACCAACTACCCAATCGCTCAGCGGCGCAACCCTCGACCTTGAGAGAAGGCTAAATAAAAAGCACCTGAACGCAAAAGACTAACACAAAGCACTTCAGAACTGCTTCCGACCATCGCACCGATTATACACCGCCTAACCTGATCGAAAGGGTAACGCAGGGCCATCCTGCACATCAACTCCTTACTCACTACGAGCACAATGACATTACCAAAATGTATGTGTACTGGACTTGACCACACATGACAACTTGCCAAACTCCCCGACTGCTACCCCACACCACTGTCACCAATTATACCAACACCTCACATGCTAACTCCCACGAAGACCTCTAGACTCTAACCGACCACCCATCTACTAGACAAACAACCCCGAACAGGGTCGGTTGACAGCCCACATTACTACCACGAACCCTCGCAACACCAAACAGGGACTGACACGACACCTGGGAACCGCCTCCGACTAACTGCGCACTCTACAATCTGCGAATCCTTCAGGCCACATACAAGTCTTGCCCAGCCTCTTACTTCTCATTACCAATGGCACAAAATAGACACGAACAGCCCAGATCTACTTGGTTCACACAGCAAGGCAGGGAAGGAGACGTGGCAATGCCACCTCCTGAACTGGAAAACGGAACAAATGGCTCCCTTTTTTTTTTCTCTCCATCCCTGACCAAATCTAGAGCACAGCAATCTCCTACCTTTTGAAACCTAATTCAGCACCAAACCACCAAGGAGCAAATTCTTTACAAATTATTGAATTTTTTAAAATGTTATTTATCTATTTTCTTCTTTCTTTTTCTTTCCACCCCTGATCCATTCCAGAGCACGGCAAACTCCTACCTGCTGAAACCTAATTCAGCATCAAACCACCAAGGAGCACATTTTTAACAAATGTTGTTTTGTTTTTTTTACTCTCCCCTTCCTCCGCCCCCACCCTGGTCATCTCTGCCGGTGACTTCAATCAGTGAATCATGGGCCGACCCATACCTCAGGAGACCACCAACCATACACACCCAGGACAAAATGATCCAACCTCTCACACATACTTACAAACATACCACATGTTAACCCCTGACTGCTGCGGAGGGGGGCAAAGAGGAGGGATAGAGAAATAACCGTTTTCAAGGGAATATATGGAATATATTTTACAATTTGTTTGTTTAAAATTTTGCAATGCTTCATCAACGTTAAGTTTGTTACAAGCTACCACCTTGTCACTGTACTAACTGATCCCTCTCCCATTCAAACTGTGCATCTGTTTTTAACGGATAGCAACAGCACCATACACATCAACACGACACCTCCACCACCCCCCACATTCAAATCTGACACGGCCATCCCCCCCACCCACTGCACTCACCACACCCACCTAACATGCATCGCTCAAACGGATTTATAGGATGCAAATGTATGAGACTGTTATGATGGAAATGAGTAACTCTGTATCCAATACCTAATCTCTAACCTGTTATGTGAACACACTCTACCAAACACTCAATGACACTGTTCTGTGATGTCTGGCTCTATCCTTCTGTGTATGTCAAAAATTATAAAACCATTAAAATAAAGAATAATAAAAAAAAAAAGTCTCAGAGCTGGAGCTGTGATCATATGGGTGCATGCAATATTGACTTTACAGTGCTTCTCAATGAGATGTCACTTCTGCGAGCTCTGTGAAACTAATGTAAGTGGAAACAAAACGCCCTGGCTGTCTGTTGTGAAAGCCAATGAAGTGTTTCTGCCCTCAATTGTAAAAGTACCAATTTCTATTGAAATCAGCACATTTATGAAGAGTAAAAAGTGACAGACTCCAGACACATTGAACACTTAAGCTTTACACTAGAGAGACCCAGGTATCAATCAATAACTGGGGCATCCCTATGTCAACTATGGTCATATTTATTTAGGGGCCTCAGAGTAACAGATGAGCTGTATGCAACTCTCAAATTAGGAGCAGCATACAGCTCTTTAAATACAGCTGTGATTATAAGCTTTCTCTACAGTGGTCTACACTGAAAAGTGCACGACTGAGTCTCTCTGCATGCCCCCTGCTGACTGTGATCAGTTCTGTAGTAAGCTAGCTTTAATCACACAGTTTGATTGGCAGGGATCTCCATTTCATGCTGCATTCATACAATAAAGGGTGCTCACTGAGCATTCTGTACTGTGTGAGCTGGGAACTTCTCTGCTGACTTTAGGGTTATAGTTAGTGTAGGGTAGCGGTAAATGTTAGAATTATTGGTAGAGCAGGGTTAGCGATAAGGTTCAGGTTAGTTTAGTGTAGGGTAAGGGTTAATGTTGAGTTAGTGTTAAAGCTGTTTTATGATTAGGGATAGTGTAGGATTAAAGGACTATTCTTGACCTTATAGTGCTAAAACCACCATTTAGGGGGCTTGCCCCCCCCCCCCCCCTCCCCTTAACCTCCATAAAGGTAATAAACCATAGGCATGTGCACGGGGTGTGCCTGGGCACACCCTAATCCCTGCGGCACGCCTATGGATTGAGATCGGCAGGGGAGATCTCAGGATCTCACCCGTCGGCTCATGGAGAGCCTTTGCTCTAAGCCTCCATGGGCCGGTGGGGAGATCTACCTCACCGGCCCACAGCAGCATGAAGGGAGGCAGGAGAGGACCCGGGAGCTCTAGCCAGCAGCTCCGCTGGATTCCTCTTGCGAAATCTGAGCTGCTGCAACGCTCAGATACAGCGAGAGTGAACTCTAGCCCCGCAGGATAAAAGAGAGCTATTTTTGTCCTTTAAAAAAACAATATATAATATGTATGGGTGCACTTAAAGAGAAACCCTTACATTTGAACAAATTCTAGATTTTGTTTTGTACAGAGTTTGGGCAACTCCCTCATTCTTTGAAGGTTACATTATTTTCAAATAGAATATAACATTGATAATACATGCTTTTCATTTTAACTCAAAATAATTACACAAATTTACAAAATTTTAACACAAAATAATTGTTACATATTTAAAATAGTTTCATTGTGATCAGTGCATATCAGAAGATCAGTGCTACACAAAAAATCTCACTGGGGCAAATATTAGCATGGGTCAGCTGATGCTTTTTGCCATAGTAATAACCCTTTGTCATGTATGATTCCTGCCATGGAATGGTGGTTTTAAAGGCATTAATAATTATAAACTGGTTTTAAGGAGCAAAAATGTAATGGGTTAGATAAGACAAAGGATTGAATAACAAATGCAATGAACAGTATACAAAGCAATAAAAAGTATACAAAGCAATACAAATAATAAATATGGTAAATATTACATGTAATTTAACCCTTCTATTACATGTTTGGGAAATAAATTAATTAATGCCGACCGAACAAATATGATAAATCTCTTTCTATAACTTTTGCTGTCTGTCCCTACTAAGCAGCCAGTTCTAACATAGTCAAGCCACTTAAAATGTATTGAAAATCTAGAAGATTTTGTATGATCGCTTATGATTACTGAAAAAAATCACATTAGATGTAATTAAAGAAGAATCATTAAAACAAATTGCATGATTCATGTTTTAACATAATCTGAAAACAGTTCATTTTCTTCACTGTCTTTAAAGGTACACTATAGTCACCAGAACAACTACAGCTACTACTTAATGTAGCTGTTTTGGTGTCTATAGCATATCCCTGCTTTTTAGAAAAAAGGCAGTGTTTATATTACTGCCTAGAAACACCTGTAGTGACATTCAGCGTCTCCAGACTCTAAATGGAAATGCTGCACTTTCCCCATAGGGATCCCTTGAGTCAATGCACCTCAATGAGGAGATGACGATTAGCTAAGGCCCATCAGCCCCCCATCCTGCCTCCTTGACTGAGATCATCGGAATTGACAATCTCAGCCAATCCAATGCTTTCATGTGGGAAGGCATTGTGATTGGCTGAGATCGTTAATCTAAAAAAAAAAAAAAAGAAGGAAGCAGATCAGATTACTTTTTACTATATTTAAAGGGGGGATATGAGGACAGTGATTTTAACAATATAGAGTGAGGAATACACTTTGTGTTCCTGAGCCTATAGTGCTTGTTTAATAAAATATAAAAATATTAAATTACAAACAATTTTAAAGTGTACTTTAGTGTCAACCTGCTATATTAAATAAACATTTAAGGGATGTTAAAGGAAAAAAAAACCTCTCTATTTATATACAACGCCTTGTATACACAAGGTGCTGATTTCTGTTCCTGATATCTGCCTCCGCAGGACTTTATTTGTGGTGCCTGCTGAGTTGTTACTAAAACTTACAGAGGAAATTGCACCTTTAAAAAAGACATTCCATATACTTAAAAATGTAATAATTAAGATATAAAAAACACTATTTGATATTTGAACAATCTCACCTCCGTTCTTTCCTTGTCAGTGGTTAAACTTTCGGCAACCTTATTTACAAGTTTGTTTTCTCTCGGGCCTTGCTCTTCCATCAAGGATCTCTGCTTCTGCAATCTGGAAAGCCATGATGGCTGTACTTTGGATTCGGCTCCTTTAGCAGACTCTTCTGTGCTTGTGGGAGAACATACATTATCTGGCCAAAACAAAACAGAGCAATTAGCAAATCACTCAAAAATGAATTCTACATTATTATGGCTATAAACTGATAATACTGACTACAGTTATTATTTATCATTATAATTCACAATTCATTTAGAAATCATGAATAGAGGGGCAAGTGTTTGCAATGAGATAGAACTATATTCATCTGATCCAGTCACCAACCATCCAATGCTTTTTGGCACAAAATCCCCTATTGTTAGCCATCAACAGCTCTTGGGTGTTTTAAACTGTCTTCCCTGCTCCAGGAATTGCACCACTTTGCGAGTTGAGGCCATACCGCCATCTAGAGTCTTAAAGTATTTACTTCTCTGACAGCCACTCAAACTAGCACTGGGGATCCTCGGTAGCTGCTTCCTGTTAAAGAAGTGTGACTAGGTCTGGAGCTCTGGTTGTTAGGGTCCCCTCCTTGAGCCAACAGGTCCCTCTCACCTGCTTGAGGGCGCTTTGTGGTGTGCACTCCTTTTGAGGGCAGGCCAATTTAAGAGCTCCTTTGCAGTCCACTTCTCAATGACTCATATGTATGCAGCATACTCCAATATTTTGTTATTTAGAAATATAGTTCCTCAAAAACCTAGCTTCTTTACAAGGGATACTCAATCCAAAACAGTGTTCTATTAAAACACTATTTTTCGTTAGAATAAATATTTAATATTTCTAAAGGGGTGTTCCAGTGATGCAAAGAATAGATGTGTCAGCTTCCCTTTCCAGCCCCAATCAGGGCAGACTGTGCACCGAGTGTTCCTGATGCACTCTCTGCATCCTAATACCCACAGCACAAATGTGTCTTGCTGGAGACATTTGCGTTCCTGAGTGCACCACACCAGGGAACCAACCCAGGATGGGAGGACAAGGTATGTAGACAGAATTATCAGCTCCAAAAACTCACCATGCTAACATGTTACTATTATATGAGTGGGCAGACACTTTTTTTGATTCTTTCAATAATGTTGGTGGTGCATGTGTGTGTATGTACATGTATAGCATAGGTCTGTCACTGATGCTTTTGTTAAACATCTTAGACACACATTTTAATGCGACAGACACACACTATTCATTTTGCCCCAAACAGTGCATATGACGCACTAACAGTAATTTGTACTTTCATGTTTCTGAACATGATTTTACATGAATTGCATGTCCTGCTATCAGACTGGCAAACAAAAGCAAAATAAAGAATCTTAAAAAGCAATCACTATAAATGGGATTAGCACAACAGGATCATTTTCTTCACTTTGTACCAGTTAACTTTATAGTAGTTTTGTTGAAAGAAACAAAACAGAAGGATGGCCCCACAAACAAATTATTCACATGCTCAGTTAGATAACATAATGTTCACCCACTGAGCACACAGAGGGGTCTGCAACCTGCTGCAACAGATTAAATGTGTTCCTGCATTTAGTAGATTAAAGACCTCTTAGAGGGCTCCGTTACTGTACATTTATATCAGCATTATTATTTTAAAACAAAATGTACATCGCCAAGGAAGTGAAAGAACCATAGTTTTACATCTTGTACATCAACAAAAGTATGAACAAAGCGTGCTGTATCTTGGGTTATAGTGAATTTTAATTTAATTACAAACAATGGGATAGGCAATGGACAATGAATGAGTTACTAAACTCTCAGTATGAAACTATCACAAATACACAGCTTGCTTGATTATCATTGGAATTAACATTATCAGGATTTAAAAAGCTCATTTAAAGAGCCCATTCTCTTATAATTAGTATTCAGAGTGTCTGAGACATAAGGGTTTATTGTAACTTGGCTAATTTTGTATAAATTTAGCGATTCAGTTTCCAGATCACTACAGTTGAGTTTTTAGTGTATATATTTCATGGTCATACAACACTGACTATATTCAAAGTAGGAGTGAAGACATGAAAGGTAGCGTATAATTAAAATAAGGACAGAAGTAATTAAACATTTAGGGCTACAAGTTTTCAAGGGCAGTTTAAAGTGTTACTCCAACCCTTCCTGGTCCATAGTTAAAGTTACTTTGTAAAGCTCTAGTGGGCATTGCTAACTAGGTCCCCCCATTTATATAACAGTAAATAATAATATACTCACAATGAATCCAGCAGAACAGAGTTCCTGGTTGCCTAGGTCACGTGTGCCAGGAGTGTAACTAGACCCTTGCATAAAAGTGCCAATTTCTCTGTATATCCAGCGTTTCACAAAGCAATGCATGTTTGGAACAACATGTTCCAGATACATGTTGTTTTACTCTAACTGTGCTCATCCCTGCATGCAATCAGATGAGACTGGGAGGTCTGCACAGCATGTCTCAGTGTGCGCCCCAGCAAATCAACATTTGCTATCAGCGGTAGTTGACAATGAGAAGAAGCAGAATCCATCAGTGGTGGTTGGCAACGTACTGCAGTCTGTTTTTTCTTAATTAATTCCATGTACTATGAGTGTGTGATTAAAGGGTTACTCCAGTCCTTTCTTATGCTTAATTTTTTTTTAATGAATAATGCCCTCTAAAAGCTGAAATAAGAATAACATTAAAAAGATATTACTTACCTGAATTCCAGCACCAGGCAAAGCTTACATGAAGATGGTGAGGGCGGCAGTCGGCAAGGGAGAGATCATCCACGCTTCACCTTGCAGGCTCTGCCTACAAATGCACACCGACGATTGATGTAATTTTTGCACAGAATTACAAGAGAGTTCAGAGCTGCCAGGCACATGTGCCAGGGGTGTAACTAGCCCCCAGCACACAACTACAAATATCTCTATATGTATGTTTCAAGCATAAACACAGCACATACAGACTCCTACCAAAATGAACAATTCTAAAAGCAGACGTGTCATGGTGGTTGCAGGAACCATTTAATGTTTACACACTGTGGCACATAACACTGGATTTAATATGTGTCTCAAATGGAGACTTAAATTTAGTTGCAATAATTCCTTTACAAAATTCAACTGAAGTGTTCTACAGGGGACATAAACAACACCCATCTTATACATGGCATTTGGCAATGATGTCCCCAATTCACTTCTCCACCTATAATAGAAAAATGAAGTACCCCATCAAAATAATAATAATAAACATTGTTAACACACCACAGCAGAACCTCACCTGTGTGTTTTTGTATACTTAATCTTCTCTCTGATATTGCCTTTTCAGCCCTTGTCTCTGGAGATTTTACTTTCTTTTCCTGCTGAGGCACACATTCTAATGCTTCCTTATTTGTGTTATTGTCAGCTACAGTTATGTTTTGCAAAACTGGCTTTTTGGGCAGAGCTGGCCTGGTATGAGTTAGTTCATTGATATTTGTTTTAGCTTTCAGCATTTCTGTTTTTGAACTGATTTCTGTGTTTGAGGCTTCTGTACATCCATCCTTACTTGGACTCAACTGCCCTGTTTTTTCCTGTCTGATTTCTGAACTGTGCCTTTTTGCTCTGTTTGATTCTTGATTTACACCATCTCTATACCGTAAGGACATAGAAGTGGATCTTAGCTTAACAAAAAATGGATTCTTCTCTTCATTGCCTGCTTGAGGTTCTATAACCACAGACATGTCACTGGCAGCTTGTGTGGAACTTTGCTCAGAAGAAATGCAACCAATGGCAGCTTTGTCTGTAGACACATACTCTGATTGAGTCAAATTCCCCTTTTTCCTAGCACTGACTTTTCTTTCAGGGTGAGAACCAAGAAGTCTTGGATCATATTTCTCATTTTCATTTGATGGCATTTCAGACGTGGGCAGAGATAATTTCATGTTTTTTAAACTTTCACCTTCAACATTTCCTTTGAATGAAAAGCTGCCACCTCTTGGTCTTTCCCAGGCTGATGAAACAGAAAACTTTCTCTGTGGTCCAATATCTGAGTTTGGTTTTTCTAATTTTTTATCTAAATTACCCACAAGCTTGTTATTTTCTTTGTCAGGCTGCTCCTGGATAGCCTTAGACTTGTCAAGTCGGAATGATGCAAAATCTACAGTTGATGGTGATTGTGAAGAAAGAGTGTTAATATGAAGGGAGTCCAATGAATGGAGAATCTGATCAGACTTTGTCTTTGTTATAACAAACTCCTCAACAACTGGGGGTGCTTCATTAGCTAGACTTTTCATATGTTCTTTCATTTCTTTTTCTTCATTGTCGCTTAAAGGTAATTTGGGGCTCTGATCTGTTTTAGATGGCATGCTTTTATCTAACACTAATTCAGACAAGGCATTGTCCACAGTATTTAATCTGCAGGGTGCTCTTTCATTTGATTTAACAAGTAAAGCATCCACCAAGCCTAATTCAGTTTTAGCATTTACACCAGCACTTGGATAAGTATTGGTATGTTCAACTGTAGAAGGTAACTTGTTGCTTAATTCCACTTTATCAGATGAGATCTCGGTTTGTGCCAATGAAATTTGAGGTTCCTCTCCCATTACAATTTCATTCTGCTTCCCTTCAGAGTCATGTGATTTTATATTTGAAACTTCCATGGAATGTGCATTACCAGAAGGACTTGTTCCACATTCCACCGCCTCTATACTCTTGCTATTCTCTTTTCCTTGAGTAGGTGTTGACTTGGCTTCTTCTGTGTCACCTTCAGGTTCTTCTTCAGTTGTAGTTAAATCAACAAGTGTTTCCTCCTGAAGCACCTAAAACAGTTAGGGAGAGTATCATTCAATAAAATGAACAACATTTTGGGTGAGAAAGTTTATGTAACATAATTCACGGATGTTGACTGAAGATGTTAAGATATGTAATGTCAAGGCAGTAGTTTACATGACCCTGGTACAGTTGTAAAATGTAATTGTGGAAGAGCCTGAAAAGTCACAAGGCTCTCATACAGGCCCTCATAATAACCCAATATAAAACAGCAGACCATGTGCCTCTGGGCCACATTTGCAGGCTCTGCCACATGGCAAGAGATACTCAGCAAGAATATTGGAGCTCTTCTACAGTAATATATATATATAATGCATATACAATAATGATAAACTGGCTTACACCTAGACTTGTTTTCACTCTCACCATAGGGCGGTATTAGAAGCAGAAGATGGCAATAAATGGCAATAATAATAATAATAATGGATAAAACCTATTGGATTAATGTATTACCGCAGATGATCTTCTAATCTTGGAAGTCCTCTGGTTTCTTGGTTTCACAGAAAGCCTATGTCTTGCCGCAGAACTATCCAGAAAGGTTGAGAGTTGAGCTGGAGTATCAAAATCAGCTGATGGTGAAAGACTACGACCCTCTTTTCTTTGCAGGGATGAACTTTTGGCATGTGTGTACTGCTTTTCCTCAGGAGACAGAGGCCTCGATGAATGCCCTGATGATATCTTCAAAACAGATATTTAGTTTTAAAACATGAAATTCTAAATATTAGTTTGAGTTTTGCAAAGGGTTTAAAGGGTTACTCCAAGCACCATGTGATTTGAAGTGGTCATGAAATGCTGCACTTATGGAGCTGAACTCATTTGCTGCCAGACGTAAAATTCCACATTATATAGCTACAGTGGCTGATCTTACATAGGCATATACTTGCTAAACACATTATATAAGGGAGTGCACCCAGAGAAAATTACTGTGTAAACTTTATTCAAAAAATGCTAACTGAAAAAAAAAAATGCAAAACACAAATTTTTCCTCATGTGATATACAGAGATAGGTATATACAAATATTTTCGGCAAAAACCTAATAAGCTAACTCAAACACACAAACAGTGGTCAGAGAGACATAAACAGGGGAAATAGAGGATAAGCTGCGCTTGCATTACAGTGTTTCTATTTACAGATGGTTCACCCACCACAAAACCCAACAAAGGCCTCAATTTAATGTTTTTGATTTTTTTTAAAACTTTTTTTTATTTTCTGATGATTTCATAGTATTAAAAATTGTAATCTTGTAATATTTTGGAAGTTTTTGACATATTAAATCATTTGGTAAGCTTACCCAACAATATTAATTCAAGGCCAACGTTCTGTAATTGCATTTAATACGGCTGCAACAATACATATTTTCCACAATAATAAAATAATTATTATAATTATTATTTTACATAAAAAAGGATCTTGTCAATACATATGAAATGAATCAAGTAATTATATCATTTTAAACATTTTACAAACTTGGAGAAAATGTACTAGCTATGACTTGTAACAATAGCTAACCAGCTATTATTTTTGTTATCCTTTTGAACATAAAATATACCTACTAGTAATCACAGGATAAATACATATAATCTAGAAAATATGAAAACAAGGAAACATAGTGAAGACTGTACATAAAAAATGCTCAAAGACAATATAGACAGTAACTCACTAGATTCAGAGCCGTGCCAGGCTCTGTATAAAAGGCCTTAGGGTGCCTATACAGGCTATAGATGGTGGCTGGATCTGGGAATACCAACATTTCACAGTAGACTTGGAGAACAGATATTCCAAAATGTATTAAATCAAGATATATATATCTACAAATAAAATAGGGTCTGGGAGTAAAAGATTACAGCAGTGCAAACAGATAGCCGAAATGGCTAAAGTCACCGCAATGTAAATAAAGTCCTTAAATCCCTGGAAAAGCAGCAAATGCGTTTCAACTCAATATAGGATTCTTCCTCAGTGCACTGTGATTCATTGTATCCTGCGATTAGTAGTAGGTATATTTTATGTTCAACAGGGTAACTTTGGTTTTCATTCTGTTTTATTGATTGGAGAGTGTTGGGGGATACTCCTTGAGTTACACCTCTTGCTTTCCTCAAACACTTGAAGCGCCTACGCACCTTTTCTCTTTTACTTTGTATTAGCTATTATTTTTGTTTTGTCGTTATTGTTATTTTAAACATTTTCATTTGCATCAAATGCAAGCCTAATACAGACAGTGAACCAATGCTAATATAAAATCTCCCATGATTACCTGAACATTGTCATGAGTTTTCATTGAATCCCAGAAATGTGTATACATCAGGGCCTCAGTCTGACTCACTTGGAGTTCCTTTGGTGCGCCTCACTCCTCATTAAACGTGGTCCCTCTTCGGCATACGCTGCATGCTTCGGCAATGGGTCTTCCTGGTATATGACCCATTTCTGTCTATTTCCTTGTTTATAATCATGTGCTGCCTGCCTCTGACCTTGGCTTTTCTGACTATATTTTTCGCTTATCCCTTTTGGTACCTCGATTTGGCTTATTGCTGCTATCTGGGCTTCTCCTATCAAAACTGTAACAGTATACATGGTAGGCAGTGAAAATAGCTGTGTGAACCACACTGAACTCACAAAAAAACATTTTATACACAAACTCTATTGCAAAAGGCATTCTAATGAATATGTCAAATTTATTTAACAGGAAAGAAAAAAATAACAGTCAACAACAAAAAGACAACAGCTCCTCATTTTATGATATTTCCTGTTTTGTTCCAAAACTGGACTCATTGCCAATAAACAACTTTGCACAATATATAAAGGTATAAAAACTGCTTTCATGTTGTATTTATATGTTCAAAAAGCTAAGACTATCCATCCTTCCATTGTATTTTTCAACTCTTTTCATATCTTCATCTGACATTGGCATTCATCTTTCAGTACTCTTTGTACAATCTCAACAAGATACTGACGTGATTGATGTTTGTACTCTAAATCCATCTAACAGTTCAAGAGACAGATATACAATCTGGTATACTTTACTATTACTGTAATTCAACGTTATTAAGTATCTGTCTTGCATTATTCTCGATAACATTTCAACTAAAATCACTACTCACATTGAAAGCGTGGGATGTTTCTGCCTCATAATCTTTACCCAGAACTCAATCCGTCTTCACAAAATAAATGTCTGAGTAGTACAGAATCTCTTTTTTTCCTGAACCAGAATCAAGATGTAAGAACACTGACACTATCTATATTCATGCTCCTCACGCTAATCTAGGTTACCCAAAAGAATGATTCTGATGGTGATTAGGGGGTTTTCTTTAAGGTTTAAGTAAACATGGTTGGTGTAAATCATTTGAATGAAGGGTCAATGGTTAGATATTTGGTTGGAAAATCACACAAGAAGACTCCGCTGCAACATTATTGAAAGTAACCCTGAATAAGATCGTTGTGAGTCACCAACTACTACATAATCTCTCCCTCTGATTTTGCTACCTTTGAAGCACCTTGTTTACATCTGCAATATTGGTGATTGGGGTGTTCCTAGGAAATTTTCCATGGGGTGTCAAAGCCATATTGTGGTTAGGCTCTGTTAGACTTATGTTATATTGAAATTAAAGGAAAGGCAAATTCCTGGGGGGCATTTGCATCCTCTTGCCCTATGCAGCAGACATCCATAGTGTTAATTTTAACCCTTACAACCCTAGAGTTTTTGTGAAACTTATTTTTACTAGTCTTGTCTTATTTGTATTTAATCTAGATTCTTCCAAATAATCCGTTTTTAACTTAATACCAAAAATAATACCACAGGGTTCTGATTATCATGCAAATCTTAAACTGTTACCTTGCGTTACAGTTACCCTTCAAAATGTCATCTAATAACTCAATTTTCAAGGTTAATGAAGCAGCAACAATGAAAACCAAAGTGCTTGATATGAGAGAACACAATATCAGTAATTCACTCCGACATTACAAAAAGCATAGCAGCCTAAGGATATCGATACAAAGTTTAGAAAAAATGTATTTTTAAAGCAGCATTGTCACTTTGCAGGTTTTCTGTTTTGTTTAATTATTTTTAGTCCCATTATTGATTTAATCCCTTTATTTTATGATTTTGAAAGCCACCCTTTTTAAAAAAAAGTTTTACATAAGAAAAAAAATAACACCTGAACATGGGAGGTACTTTTGTACTCTAGAGACTGCGCAAAACACAAACATTGGTGTTTCAAACCAGTACAATTTATTACAACACTATATCATCAATGAAAGTGCAGTTTTTTTGTGAAAAATGCAAAAAAAAACTAATATGAACGCTAACAAATATAACGCTAATAGTTTTTGACTACTAAAAAAGACTGAACATACCCCATTTTGAATGCCCTGAGTTGTCTACTTTTTTAAATGGTATGCCATGATGGGGATAATTTTTATTCTTGGGCTGCCATACGGTCGCACCTAAGGGCACTACCTCAGTTAGGGGTTTTCAGGTGAAGCTACTGATACCTTACCCAAGCATTTCTGCAAATCCGGTGCCCAGATGGCTTACCTGGCCTGCAGATGACGGAGCTGAGAAGAGGTGGCCGTTTTCATCATTCTAAAATCAGCGGTGCGGAACCATCAACCCCATACTCCTACCCCCTTTTGGACTGGTGGGGTTGACCCCAGTATGCCCCTGGGAGGTATCAGGCCCGAGGGTTAAGGGCAGGCATGCAGACTGCCGACTTAAAAGCACACAACATGGCGGACGCCACGATTCCCCCTGATTGCTGCAGCAAGAAATCAGACTTTGAGTCCAAGTTGGACACCACATTTTGCCACGATTTGGAGAAAATTGGCATCTAGAGAACGACAGGCTGTCAAGCAAAAGGCATGTAGTCACTCTCCTATGGCATCACCATCACAGCCTCACAGGAAGGACGAGGTGTTCAAGAAGCCCAGAGCACGAAAATGGCAGCAGCACAGGCAACAACTAAAGACTGAACATGAGTCCACATGGCTGAGTTTGGATGGACCTAGATGCCCGAACCAGCGGCTACTGACTCACCTTAAATCCTACTACCTGCAGCGGCCAGAATCGTGACTTCAAAAAAGCTTGTATCCCAAACCTCACCTTGCCTGGAAAGAATTGTGCAGAACTCTGCAGAATACACGGAGCCTGCCCAGGCCCCCTATGGTGACCTCATGTCCTGCATCAGATGAGCTACTGGGCCTGAACTTAGAACTCCTGTGAAATTTGAAATTGGGTAGGGAATATCTATGCTTTATAGGTTCTAACTTTTGGCACAATCTGACCGCACTTGAACACGGTATAGGTAAACTTACTATTACTATTTCCCAGTGGGATTCATGATTACCATACCTTGGAGGCCTCTTAGGGGTTATTCACCGTTTATTAGTTTGTATTAAGCATGTAATTTTTATTTATTTTTTCCTTCCTTTACTCGTTCAGTGCATGACAATATCTGTCTATTGTTTTATTGCAACTAAGACAAACCAAGCAGTCAGTCTGTATAGCATGCTTTTGAATGTTCAGGGCTTCTGTCCACTGACAACTTTGGTATTAACATGACTCTACTTAAAACTGTGCTGTTTTCTCCTATGCCTCAACACTGAATGTTGATGTTGCCTATATTGTGCCTGTTTTTCACTGTTGTGGCATCACAGGTCTGTTTGTACATCAACGCACGGAAAAAAAATTATAGAAAAAAAAATCTATAATGCTGATGATATCATTGGTGAAAGGGCAGTTTATTTGTGAAAAATGCAAAAAACCCCAAATATGAATGCTAACTTTGGCCAGCGTTTGTGTATAAGTGGCTACTAAACAAGACTGGACATTTTGAATACCCTTGGTTGTCTACTTTTTCAAATCGTATGCCATGATTGGGTTGTTTTCATTTGTGGGCTGCTATAAGGTCTCAAAGGCAACGTAGGCCTGGCAAACCAATTTGGTAAATTTCAATGTGTACAAACTGAAAACGGGGAAAGACCTATATTTAACTCTGTAACTTTCCAAAACCACATAATACCTGTACATAGGGGGAGAAGGGTACACAAAAATGTATATTTTATTGCAGTAACAACTAACAGTACTATGACACTCAGTTAAAATGCCATGCTGATCGCCGAGCAATATGGCCGCATGAAGAATTGCTCCGGTTCTGAGCTTCATACAAAGTGCGGAAAAGGAGCTGCCAAAAGCTTTCCAACACTCCAAAAGAAAGATGTCCCAACACAAATCTAAGAAAGTGGCGTCTAAAGCGGAAAAAAATTACTTTTTCCGCTATAAAACTCCTGTGGCACATTTAGGCCACCCATAAGATGGCAACGGTGACTCTGACATGAGTGTTCTGAAACCAACCACAGAGCATCTGCCTGAAACTGACGCGGAAAACATAACAAAAGCATTTCTGGCACAAGCCCTGGATAATCTATTGAGTAAGCTCATAGCCTCGTGGCAACATACAGCGGTTGCTCTCCGCAAGGATGTACAAGAGTTGAGCACAACCCACATGGAACAGAAAAAGAGCAGATCACGTTCAATCTCTAGAAAATGAGATAGAACTCCTAGAATCCAGGATGGCGGAATCAGAGGATAGAAGCCGAAAGAACAACCTTAGGCTACAAGGAGTGACTGATTCTGTCCTGCATGAAGACCTGCAGGCCTACGCACGTGGATGTACCGGCAGACATGCTCCTGCTTGACCGGGTGCACCATGTTCTGAAGCCAAGTTACTTGCCTGACTCAACCCCAAGCGATGTGCTCCTCCGGGCACACTACTTCCATATAAAAGAGCATGTGCTATGATCTTACCGCAACAAGATAGCCTCGTGAGGACTATCCTACCGTAACCATATATGCTGATCTCTCTGCGGCAACATTCAGGCGTAGGAAAAGCTTTCGGGTCGTGGTGGAAGCCCTGCGGCAGCAAGGAATCCACTACCGCTGGGGATACCCAACCATTACAGGACTACTGATTAGCCGAGCTTCATTCTTAAAATGTAAATCCCAAAATGACTACTTAGGACTCCTATGCTCCCTAAGAGATGCAACGAATGCACATATCCTGCAAACAGCAGATCAACATATACGCACCATAACTGACACAACAGCACGCATAAATGAAATACACTTAGCTAAACAGCCTACTCACTCCAACGCCTGAAAATTAGAAATTACTCCATGGGTAACAAAGCGGGGAAAACACTTGCAACAATGTTAAGGAAGAAACAGACACAATCCAAAATCCCATACCTGATAACAAACACTAACAAAAAAATTATACAACTCCAAAGATATTAATAATGAAAAGGCAACCTTCTACCATGCCCTGTACAACATAAAACAAGATGACTACACCCATCACCCGACTACCTCAGAGACAGAAAATTTTCTGGTCCTGACATCCCTGCTGTCATTGACTTCAAAACAACAGGAGATACTACAAAGACCTGTAACATCCCAAGAAATCACGCAAACTATAGCACATTACACATTAAATCACACATTCTTGCCCCGAAATTGGAATCAGTATACAATCACATAATAAAAACGGGAGACATGCCACACGAGATGCTGATCACGCATGTGGCCACCCTCCCTAAACCGGGGAAGCCTCCCACCAAGAGCCAAAACTTACATCCGATCTCACTGCTCAATACGGATACTAAATAAATAGCCAACAGACTGTGAAAAACTCCCCTCTCCAAGTGAGTTTGCCACGAGCTCCTGGAGGAGCCTGCTTGCCAGCCTCCTGCCCACAGACTATGGGCCCTGCAGGGAAACCTGTAAAAGACTACCAAACTTGACCGACTGTTAGCACTGATTTCCCTGGAACTGTTTTGGGCATGGGGCCATGTTTGTGGTCGGTCAAAACTATGACTTCCAGGAAATTCCTGAACCCCTGAACTGATCTGGGTGATTTTTGAATATGTTGTTCACCCAGATTGGGGCTATCATCGGGAATGTGACTTTTATGGGGTTTTGTGTGTTTTTAAGGTACTTTTTGGGGTTTCATAAAATTGTATGTTTTTTTCTAATTAGGTTAGATTAGTACAGTTACTGATTCAATTATCTCCCACACAGAGGGGGGATTCTATTGTTTGTGTATGGGAGTGTCTCACTGTATGACTCTGTTTTTATTGGTTTGTTCACTTTGTGTCCCTGTGCCCAACAACGTCCACCTGGGTGTCGCCCTTGTTGGGAAACTTGCATAAAAGGCCAGTGTGCCTCCATTAAAATCCTATTCCAGCTTGCACTCCAAAACTGTGTGTCATCCTGTTATTGGAGGGAAAGAAGATTTACTCCTGTGTCTGCTGTTCCAGCTTGCAGGGGATTCAACGGGGAAAGTCCTTGTAAGGACTAGAGATAATTCCCCATTCGACTCTAGGAAGGAGCGGTTTCAGGGCCCCAGTCAAGCCACAGCGACTGTGGGCAGAAGTGCTGTGGTTTGTCCCCTGTTCCAGCTAGGAAGCTGTTCTTTGATGGAGGTACCCAGTCGGGGTACAGGGAGCTCCGTTACACAGACTAACCCAAATTATCCCCATGATCATACATAAAGACCAGGTGAAGCTTGTGAGCGGACGCATGGATGCCCAAGAAGTTCAGGTCGAAATATAAACACATGCTCCCAACAACCAAACTCACACTCCAACTCTGGGATAAATTCCAGGAAACACATGCATTACACAAGGGGATTTCACGCGCACTACCACTTGCTTCCCTGCCCTCCCTCATCCCAGACTGTAACATTAAACTTTGGCATAGACACAGCATAACACACCTGTACCACATATTTTAGGGGCCCAGCTTGAAAATCTTTGTGCAAATGCAGAAAGAATATGGGTTGCCCAATACAGCTAAATTTTCATACACACAGATGCTCTCATGGTCAAAAAAAACTAACTGTTTAATACTGTAAATGGCCTACAGCTGACTGACACAGAAAAAAAATCACCAAAAACTCCAAATTGATCACAACAATATACGCCAAAAGTCAAACCCAAATGAGCCCCAATAATTTTAATTTTGTAAAAGCATGGGAACAAGAACTAGAACTAAATTGCCCACTCAGTGAAAATCAATGGCGAAAAATAATCCTGGCACACAAACCCCTCTCACTATGCATTTCTCACACGGAGCTTAACAGGAAAATCTTGTACCGAAGGTACCTAGTGCCTACACGATTAAAACAGGCCTTTCGGATAAATTTTGGCGATGCTTGTCTGAGCCAGGAACAATGTACCACATTTGGTGGTCCAGCTCACATCTGACCTCATTCTGGACAGAAATAGCACAGCTCATACACAAATGCTCTGGAATACAGGCACCAAAACAACCAGAACTATTACATCTCTTCCCATCTCTTCGGCAAATACATGATTTACAATAAACTTATAGCCGCCCTAACAATAATAAGTAGAATGTGGCGCTCACCCACTACACTCACTGTCTAGCAATGTATCCAAACAATAAATACAACTAGACAATATGAAATAATGGCGGGGACAAATTACCCCCAAAAACATTTGTGACAGCAGCATGGTCAATGTGGGAGTTATATCTCTCATTGAATCCAAGTACAACTACATAACCTGCACAATCTCAATACCAACACTAGTCATACATAACTCTCAATAACGGGTATGAGACAGAACCCGCGACTCCGACAGCTGTGGCCATATCGATGACTATGGTGTATGACTGCATAGGTATCCGATGTCATGGTAAATGCCAACCTAGTTCGGAGAGGTAGTGGAAGCATAACAAGCACTAAGATATAAACACTACAAACCAGATTACACCCCAAATATCACTCTGCTGCCATAGCCAAGTTTCAGTATGGGTTGTAATCCTAAGAGAATAGGCCCCCAGATCTCACGCTCCTACTATTTAGACTTAGCGCATATCCAAAAATGTCAGACTCGCACTCCTCAAAGACATAAAAAGAAGGATGAATACCATGTCACTAAAACAGTTGAAAGCCTAAGAAAATTGTTGAAAGCCTGACAAAACCCTTGAATGTTTGATAAGATTGTCGGACCACCCACCACCACATGCCCTCCTTATCCCCACATCTCCCTCCCTATGATTCCCCCCTCCAATCTTCCCAGGTTAATCCAATGTAAAATCTTTACCGAAGTTAACATTATGTTAAATTATGTTTCACATATGAATATTTGATGTTAAATGAAAGCCCTGTTTCTCCTGAAAAAAATGATTTGCAATAAGTGTGGGTGAACTTAATATGGTTAAACAGACATATAGCGCACATTCCAGGTTTTGTTTTCATTAGAATTTGTACAATTTCATCCGTCCTTAATGGATTATCATGCATTGAAAAATAAAAACAATGACAGTGTTGCTTTGACTAAGAAATACACACACACAAAATACTTGCAAAATAAAACTAATACAGGCTGAAAGTCTGTATTAATGTTCAATTTTTAAAAGCCCTTTTTAAAAGTCATTTCACAATTAACAAAGTTGGATCATTACCTGTTCATCTTCTTCACTACCTGTTCCTGCCAAACTGAGAGAACTAAGGTGTTTAGGATGATCAAAGAACTGTGGAATAGAATGAGGACATAACATGGGAGTCAGACACATCTAAAGTCTCACAGAATAAATAAAAATGTCTGAGTATTCCACCCTTTTCAACCTCAAGACTATTACATTGCTGTAGAAAGTAAGAATCAATTCACTCACTCACTCACTCACTCACACTCTTCATTGTTTTTTCCAATTACCCAACTAGCTTACAAATCCATGGAGAATTCACTAACTAGTTAATTCTAGATTTATCAAGCACACTTCATTCTTCTATAATGGTTTTAAGAAAGGCTCCATTGTCTATTATGTAGAAATTAGAAGCCCAGTGGGCACAGGCTGAGCTTCTGGGTAACACGTAAGTGCTCACTTTAGCTTGGATTTTATCAGCTGTGAGTCACTCTACAGTAAACATTCCCGGTAGCATCTGTGACAAAACAGAAGCAGTAACATTGATCATCATTTATCAGGATAAACACACGTAGTTCATATTCCAAAGCTGTATAGGCCCAGATTTCCACATATATACAGTACCTATGGAGGTGCAGACCTCTACACCCTCTGCTAGAAACTCAGATATGAGAATTCAAAAACATACCCTTTGAGCTTAAAAGTAGATAGGAATATTTTATTATTTAACCAGATTATTTATTTAATACAAGGTCAATTATGCGTTAAACTACATCTAAAGGCCCAGTCTAACTGTGATTATAGTGGTATAGTGCACCTTTAAAATGGACTAGGCCAGGGACAGGCAACCTTTGCCACTCCAAGTATTGTGGACTACATCTCCCCTGATTCTTTGCCAAGATTATGGCTATAAGTGCATCATTGAAGATATAGTGAACAACAACTGGAGTGCCTACCTTTGGACTGCCATTTTTTCAATCTGTGAAAACCTTGATTAGGTGTTGGGGATGGCCACTGAACTCTATGAAAATTTTACTTTTTGAGTCATAAAGATAATAGTATGTGCCAAGAGCTTTGAAGGTGGTGCATGTGCAATAGATAAATAACAAAATAAGAAGGTATTATCTTTTATATTTTGTGTTTCTTTTTTGGTGTTAAGTAAGAATGAGGCATTACATATTATTAAATATTAACGTTCATGACAGTACAATTAGAAAAAGACTGAACAAGTATGGTTTGTTTTGAAGTTTAGCCAGAAGAAAGCCTATGCTCTCTATATATAACATTGAAAAAACGGCTTCGGTTTTCAAAGTTGCATCTGAACAAACCACAAGACTTGTGGAACAATGTCCTTTCAATAGACGAGACCAAAGTGGAGATGTTTGACCATAATGCACAGTGCCAAGTTTGGCAAAAACCAAACACAGCATTTCAGAACAAACACCTCATACCAATTGTCAAGCATGCTGGTGGATGATTTGCAGCCACAGGACCTGGGAAAATTGCAGTCATTGAGTAAATCACGAACGCCAAACTATTCTAGAGATAATCCGTTCGACAGTTAAAGCTTGGCTGAAATTGGATCATGCAACAGGACAATGATTCCAAGCACACCAGCAACTCTACAACGGAATGGCTGAAATTGAACCAGATTACTCTGGTTTTCAAGTATGTCCTGGGGATGTTAACTTAGCCCAACATCCAGGGGTTGTTACTATTAGCCAATCTAATGGTACTCATTTACTCATACTCATCTACCTCGGAAGGATGAAGGGCTGAGTCAACCCTGTGGGGATTTGAACCTGCGACCCAAGGGTTGAACAGATTCTTCTAATGATGCATTAGCCCACTGAGCTATCTCGCCAAATGAAAAGAATCAATGTGTTGCAATGGCCGAGTCAAAGTCCGGACCTCAAACCAATCGAAACGCTGTGGCGAGATCTGTGCAGCAAACTTCAATGAACTGAAGCAAAACTGTAAAGAAAAGCGGTCCAGAAATCCTCCACAACAATATGAGAGACTGATGAAGTCATACAGATAACGAATAGTTCAGGTTATTACTGCTAAAGGTGGTTCTACAAGCTATTGCATCATAAGGCGGGCTTAGTTTTTCACATATGACTTCTCCATTTTTGGCTTTATGTTTGGTAAATAATTATCTCACAGTGTAATATGTCATATGCTGTGCATCTGAGGTTGTATTTACCTCATTTTAAGACCTGCGAAGGAACATATGATTGTTATTATGTTCTAATATTTAAAACCAGAATAATCAAAGAAGGTGTACTTTCTTTTTCCCATGACTGTATATATTCGGGTGGTAAAATTGTGATTATGTACACAGTGTAAACACAGCACATTCTTTCTATTTGATTGTTTGAGAATATGTGCAACTGTTCCATTGTGAATTGAAGGAAGACTACTTGATGGTCAGTTAATATATAGATGACTTTCAAATTTTATATAAGAAAATGGGAGGAACTACCTGTGTAGCCTGTTATTTAGAGGTGTCAGAGATGTACATTTAAACCTGCCTTTTATCATTATTGTTATTCTCTTTTTAACGGAATGCATTATATCTGCTATCCACAGCTGCTGTTGCCTCTTCACTTGAGAATGTCTTAATCTTTTAAATTGTCCTTCTGATGCAAACAATGCATTTATTGTGTCAATGTAGAATATCAATACTGGACAACGTCCTTACCCTTGTTCTTACAGCCTCATGCATCAGAGACATTTCAGGAGGACTCCTTGGTAATCCGTCATCTTCCGAACTTGTTCCTGTATCTTCACCCCTCTTGGCGACCATTCCAAAAGGAGGAGGGCCATGTCTTATATTTGACTGAATTTTAGCCTTAAGTAAAGAAGAAAATTCTTATAATGTCTTGTTTCAACATTTGAAACACAAATGTTATGTTTTAGATGTTGTAATGATTTATGTTAAATGCCAATGAAATCCAATACAACTAAAATGTTTTCACACATTGTAGATCAATAAAAAGATGCACAGTCACATGACTAGTATAATTAACCAACAACCACTCCTTCCTATACACAGTCATACAAGATACTCTAGATAAACAGACTTTAAGGGAAACGTACTATGTAAAAATGAAAAAATAAACATTTGTTAAAGGGTTTTCTATTCTGAGGACAAAATCACTTCTGTAACCCCTGGAAGAAACTGTGCATATTTTCTGAACTAATCCATCACATTGCCTTTATACTAATCAATATATAAGCAAGGGCTGACTCCACCGTGATATTATTGTAGACAGTAGGTAGCCAAGGATAACCTTTTCTACAACTTGGGCACAAATGTCCACCAGAAGCTACTAGAAGGAGCGTCTGTAGAGGACAAAATAAAGTGCTCTGGGCATTTAAACTGGCACTGTGGCAGGACATGCATGAAAGGATGTGTTTTAACTTTTTAAAAATGTATTATTATTATTATTATTATTATTGCCATTATTGCCAGTGACGCTGTTCCTTTAATACACTCAGTTATATGTATAGCAAGCAAAGCACAGGTACAAACAATGTTTATTTTTTTCACTGGAAATTATGATGAATTGAAAAACAAACTGTAAAACGCAAGTAAATATAGATGGTTTGGAATAAGTGTACAACTCAGTTTTAGTCACAATTTGGTCATTTCAGCCAAAGCTTTGCAATTTGACTTTTATTTTGTCACAAATTGCTGTTTTGTAAATAAAATCAATGGTAGCATGAAAACACATACTTCAAACACACAATGCATTTCTGCTGTGGCCTTGACTGGAACTCAGCAAAGCACTTGGCCCTGTCCTGACCAAAAAAGCATGACTGCTCTGTGCTACCACCTACTGGTCAGAAATAAATATGCTTGTCTTATTACATGTGTTCCCGAGAGACCTTTTAAAAATATGATGCAGTTTGGCTGTCAATTTTTCTTAGCAACTTAACAGGCTTTAGTTATGAAGTAGCGGACTGTGGAAGTTTCACCCTTATACTCTGTTCTTAACCTACGGATCCGGAAGGTTAAGAACAAGAAACACTAATATATATATATATGGCACACTCAGCAATGGAAACTAGGAAAACTAACAAAAGATTTTGGGGAATGTGTGAAGAATTTTGTGCAAAGCTAAATAACACAGGGTCGCTCTGCAGGGGAGACGGGGGTTGAAGTGGATTTAAGTAATGTAAAAAAAGGTTGAGAGATGGGTATGGGTCAAGGAGAACCCAGGCCTCATACTCCACAGCTACCTCTAAACAGTTACATCTCCAGGATTCATATTCGGGGGGCACATGAGGGGCAAAGGACAAAACCAGTGGGGTAGTTATAAAATGTGTATATATGTGTGTACATATATATATGTAAAAAACAGTTAAAATTCGTATCTTGTAATACTTTTTTTTATTGGATTAATACAGCTACAATCTCTACATATATATATACATACATACATGCACAGGGCTCAACAAATCCCAGGCGCTAGGTCACCATGGCAACTAGGAATTTCGCCCTGGCACCTGGATTTTGTCAGCCCTGTCAGGAAACATTAAAGCCGGCCGCCGGAGGGAGTGAACAAGTTCACTGATACACACAGGCTTACTACAGACAAGCTTACTGACACACACAAGCTCACTACAGACAAGCTCACTGATATACACACACAATCTCACTACAGGCAAGCTCACTGACACACACATGCTCACCACAGACAAGCTTACTGACACAATCTCACTAACACACATGCCCACTACAGACAAGCTCACTAACAAACATGCTCACTATAGACAAGTTTACTGAAACACACACAAATTCACTACAGACAAGCTCACTGACACACACAAAAGCTCACCAAGTAGCAGGCACATACACTTACAAGATCACCCTGTCATGCTAAGTATTGGACGCATACCTGGCACTGGAGGCTGTGGCTGTGGGAGAACTAGGAGACCATTTTCAGGCCTCTATCTGCAGCAAGGTCCTCTGCTAGAGAGTGGGGGCGGAGCTCCATGTAGGGGCAGAGCTTGCGTCCAGGGAGGCGATCTTCCATGCAGGTGCAAAGTTTGTGTGCCGGGGAAGCTGTTGCACAGTGGCGGAACGAACGTAGAGAGGGCCCTGGTGCAAAAATAGTTTTGAGCCCCTGCAGACACATGCCAATCGGGTGTCCCTAAGTGCATGGGCCACTCAATGGTATCCGGTGTAACCGCAACACCAGCACTGCCTGTAGTTCCACAGCTGCGCCTTCCTTATTACAGGCAAGATACCTTTTCATGGAAATTGGAAAACCTTCTCAGGAGATGCAAGAAAATTTTCCATGGTGTTTAGAAGGGGCTATGGTGAAGTGTGTGTATATCGGAGTCTGTTTATGGTGTACTATGTTTAACTAGGCGCTGTTGTGTGTGTTGAGATGGCCTGTAAAGTGTGGGTGTGCACATCTAGGGACTGTAGTGTGAGTGTATGTGTATTAGGGTTGCATTGTGTGCTTATCAAAGAGCTGTAGTGTATTATTTAATAGGGTGTGTATGTGTGTACAATTCGTTGTGTGATGAGGTGAAGTATGTATATATGTATGTATGTGTGAGTGGGGATAAATGTATGTGATGATGAAGTGTGTATGTGGGTGAAAAGATGATATGTGTAATGAAGTGTGTGAGGGTTGCACTGTGTGTGTATGGAAAGGTATACTCTGTGTGGGAGTGTACTGTATGTGGCGGGTAGGTGGTTCTGTGAGGGTGTTCTGTGTTCTTTAACAAGAGTTTAAAAAATAAATATTCCCCTTTCCCTGATCCCACTTTGCAGAGAGGGGGTGGCACAATCAGATCCGTGGTGGTGTAGAAGGCTGCCTATCTATCGGGTACAGGGAAGGTCACGAGATGAGACGTATCTCTCTTGGAGCTCAGGCATTTACACAGACTGACCCATACAAACCCACAGACTGACCCCTGCCCCCCCACACAGACTGCCCCTACACACACAGACTGGAACCCCCAAGCACAGGCTGACCCATACAGACTGATCCATACACACACAGACTGCCCCCCCACACAGACTGACCCATACACACACACAGACTGCCCCCACCCGGACTGACACATACACACACACACACAAGCTGTTCCCCGCACACACAGACTGACCCATATACACGCACACACAGACTAACCCATTCACACATAGACTGACCCATACACACACAGACTTCCCACACACACAGACTGACCCATACACACATACACACTGCCCCCCACACACACAGACTGCCCCCACACACACAGACTGACCCATACACACACACACAGATTGCTCCCACACACAGACTACCCCATACACATGCAGACACCCCCCACATACAGACTGACCCATTCACACATACAGACTGCCCCCCACACACACAGACTGACCTCCCACACAGACTGACCCATACACACACAAAGGCAGTTCACCCACACACAGACTGACCCATATACACGCACACACAGACTGAACCATTCACACACAGACTGACCCATACACACACAGACTGACCCATACACACACAGACTGAACCCCCAAACACAGATTGACCAATACACACACAGACTGATCCATACACACACAAACTGCCCCCCCACAGAGACTGACCCATATACACACACGGACTGCCCCCCCACACAGACTGACCCATACACACACAGGCTGTTCCCCCACACACAGACTGACCCATATCCACGCACACACAGACTGACCCATTCACACACAGACTGACCCATACACCCACAGACAACCCCCCCAAACACGGACTGACCCATACACACATACAGACTGCCCCCACACCCACACAGACTGCCCCCCACACACAGACTGACCCATACACACACAGACTGAACCCCCCAAACACAGATTGACCAATACACGCACACACACACACACACATACACTGATCCATATACATGCACACACAGACTGATCCATTCACACACAGACTGACCCATACACACACAGACTGACCCCCACACAAACTGACTCAGACACACATACAGATTGCCCCCCCCACACACACACATACTGACCCACACACACACACACATACATACTGACCCACACACATACACAGACTGCCCCCCCACACAGACTGACCCATACACACACACACACACACACACACACAGACTGACCCATACACACACACAGACTGGCCACACAGACTGGCTCCCCCCCACATACAGACTGATCCATTCACACACAGACTGACCCATACACACACAGACTGACCCCCACACAAACTGACTCAGACACACATACAGATTGCCCCCCCCACACACACACATACTGACCCACACACACACACACATACATACTGACCCACACACATACACAGACTGCCCCCCCACACAGACTGACCCATACACACACACACACACACACACACACAGACTGACCCATACACACACACAGACTGAACCACACACACTGACTCCCACACACCAGCAGCTGCCGAGCTTCCTCTCCCTGTCTCTCCCCTGCGCTGCTCTATGTGACCCAGCTGGAAGCTCCTCCCAGCACAGTGCCCCCTTTGGCCGCACGTGGGAATTCCACCCACCCCTGTGCACTGTGGCTGCAGCTTGTGTTGGGAGGCTCAGTGCTCCCGGCTTCAATTTCAATTGCAGGGGCACTGCATGATGTAGTGACGCCCCTGCAGCTCTAAAACATCTTCTTACTTCTTACTTTTCTCTTCCTTTTTTCTTGTTTTCGCTGCTCCCTGCTATTGCTTTCTTTTTTATGAGAAATGCCCTTGTGTGGGCGGATTGTACGTCAAAGGAGCAATAACTGACTTACTGACATTTTTAACTTTCATAGCGACCACAATCACTCTAATGTATTATTTAGTATATTTGTTTATTGTTCATACAACAGGTAACTGTATTGTATAAACACATACCTATGCTCCTTTTTAATGTGTATTTCAATACCTACCTATTTAAGGCAAAATGTTCTTTAAAAAACTTTTAGTGAAAAAAAGAAATGATAATGTAGGCTGGCCAATTCTTTAGCTGCCTGAGGATACACTTACATCAGACTAGTATGTAGTTTATTTCTATCCACATATAATCAATGAACATAGGAATGATTATATAGTTATTGTGACCTGTTGAAACCATTTTGGTTAATGTCACATCCTTTTTAATTTAGTAGAACCTGAAATACAACTGCCCTGGTTTTGTTAAAGCTAATGGTAATAAAACACATCAGACTATGCTAGGTAATACAAAATAAAGTATTTATACTTAACAATGAATGATGGTGACCTGAAAATGGAATTACTAAATTTTGGTTAAAAAGCTCCGCTTTAGCAAATTACACCACAATCCCTTGCACAATGCAAAACCAGGGCAAAAATTCGCAAATTACGAGGAGAAATGGAAAACTATATTCTCCTCTTCTCTGTATGTTTTATCTATGCTGACAGCAAGATGCAAAAGACAAAACTTATAACAATGATTGACAAAGAGGTAAGATGGAGGCACCCAGTTGCAGGATAAATAGATGTAGATATCTAAATTTCCTTTTATTTTTCACATCTCACAACACACATATTTATTAATGATAGGGATAGTAAAATAATATTACAAATCCTGGGAAGTGACTTTCCCTTTAAATCAAATTACACAAAATTCTGACTGAAATATAATGATTTAGCAATTTATGTAACTATTCGTTAATCTCAATTTTAAAATTTTATTTAGGTAAATTCCACATGTAGAAAATCTAAATTTCACCAAACCAGCAGAAGTGTAATGTATAATATACATACATTAACATACCGGTATACAGTATTTCACAAAAGGGAGTACACCCCTCACATTTTTGTAAATATTTTATTATATCTTTTCATGTGACACTCTGCTACAATGTAAAGTAGTAAGTGTACAGCCTTATAACAGTGTAAATTTGCTGTCCCCTCAAAATAACTCCACACACAGCCATTAATGTCTAAACCATTGGCAACAAAAGTGAGTACACTCCTAAGTGGAAATGTCCAAATTGGGCCCAATTAGCCTTTTTCTCTCCCTGTTGTCATGTGACTCGTTAGTGTTACAAGGTCTCAGGTGTGAATGGGGAGCAGGTGTGTTAAATTTGGTGTTATCGCTCTCACACTCTCTCATACTGGTCACTGGAAGTTCAACATGGCACCTCATGGCAAAGAACTCTCTGAGGATCTGACAAAAAGAATTGTTGCTCTCCATAAAGAAGGCCTAGGTTATAAGAAGATTGCCAAAACCCTGAAACTGAGCTGCAGCACAGTGGGCAAGACAATACAGCGGTTTCATAGGACAGGTTCCACACAGAACAGGCCTTGCCATGGTTGACAAAAGAAGTGGAGTGCACGTGCTCAGTGTCCTATACAGAGGTTGTCTTTGGGAAATTGACGTATGAGTGCTGCCAGCATTGCTGCAGAGGTTGAAGGGGTGGGGAGTCAGCCTGTCAGTGCTCAGACCATTCACACCTGAGACCTTGTAATATTAACGAGTCACATGACAGCAGGGAGGGAAAATGGCTAATTGGGCCCAGTTTGGACATTTCACTGTTGTTGCCACTGGTTTAGACATTAATGGCTGTGTGTTGAGTTATTTTGAGGGGACAACAAATGTACACTGTTATAAGGCTGTACACTTACTACTTTACATTGTAGCAGAGAGTAATTTCATCAGTGTTGTCACATGAAAAGATATCATAAAATATTTAGAAAAATGTGAGGGGTGTACTCACTTTTGTGAGATACTGTATGTCCAAATCTATATAGATTTAATTAGATAGATTGATAGATGGAAGGAAGAATGGATGAATGGATAAAGTTTAATTTTTCTAGTGTGAAAAATACTTAGCTGCACTTTGCTTTTTTTCTTTGACTGCATCCATACATTTCTACAATATCTAACCTGAAATTTCACAATTTCTAACATTACATTGCACTAAGCATTTTGGGAGAGCAGGGATACGTGTGCACCGTTGAATGAATAGAGAAGGAGATATCAAATGCAATGTTAAACTAGGGCTAAACAATGCTTATATATGCATCAGCCAGCAATGAAGATAGAACAATGCATACATGAACCTTCATTATCTATATAGCATTTTGCAAACTGACTGGGTTATTCAATTCAGTAAAGTACAAAATGTCAAGAATTCAACATTAATCTAAAGTGAATTTCACTTCAAATTTGCATGTAATCAATGTTTCAGTCCAACTACCTTGACATATTAAGGAAAGCTTGGTAATGGGACTGAAATGGTGAAAGTATGTAGGGCACAACTGTAAAAAAATGACGTTATCTTGTTTATTTTGAAATCCTGTGGGTGCGCTCTTCACTTTAAATATGTTATTGTGATGGAGTCTGCATCTAGTAACAAGACTGGGCCAATATCTGCTCATTACATATGGTACATATTAATGACATTTATCTTTGTATTATGCATATATAAATGTACATTAATATATGTGTAAATATAATAGGCATATATATTTAAAACTAATACACATTAATATACATGTCATATACCAGTGGTGGATCCAGAGCCTGATCCCGGGAGGGGCACTTGTAGATTATTTAAAGAAATAATCCATGCACAATAACCACTACTGCTCTGTGTAGTCATTATGGTGCAAGGAGTGCCGGGACCCCCTCCCAGAGTAAGTAGTCAAACCGTTTAAGAACAGTTTGACAACTTACCTGGGGTCTGCTGGGATATGGGGCTGTAGTAGGGTATAGGAGCAGTGGTGCAATGTGTGAGGGTGCAGTGGGTCCAGTCACTCTGTATGTTTCTTTCTCCCCCTCACTGCTAATCTGTGTCCATGTCTCCCCTCTCCTTCCCATTCTCTCTCTTCCCCCTCTGCCTCTTTCTCCCCCTCCCCTTGTGTGTCTCTTTCTCTCCTTTTCCCCTCTGCCTCTTTCTCCCCCTCCCCTTGTGTGTCTCTCTCCTTTCTCCCTCTGTCTCTTTCTCCCCCCCTTTCCCTGTCTCTCCCCCACATCTCTCGTCCCCTTTCTTTCTTACTACTTTACATTGTTTCCCTGTGTCTCCCTCTCTCCCTCACATCTCTCTTCCCCTCTGTCTCTTTTTCCTCCCTTCACAATCTCTCTATTCCTCCTCTATCTCTCCCCGTGGTCTCACTCTTCCCCCTCTGTCTCTTTCTCCCTCTTTTCCCTGTGTCTATTCCCCCTCTGTTTTATTTTCCCTCTCCCCTTGTGTCTCTTTATTCCCCGTCTTCCCCCTCCCATTTACCTGAGAGGAGTCAGGGGGCCGGCAGCATTCCACGTTGGAGCCGCCGGTTCGGCGGCACTCCTGTCAATGTCACTAATGCTGAGGAGTAAAGGAGGAGAGAGGAGCATGTCTCTCTAGTCTCTCTACCATGCTCCCTCACGGTTACCACAATTCCCAGCACACGCCGGCCGGCCGGTCCCCTCAGAGTGTGTGCCACCGGACCGGCCACCCGGTGGCACATACATGCTCAGCGCAGCCCCCAGATGCCGCGGCCCGGGAAATTTCCCAGTATCCTGGTGGGCCAGTCCGGCCCTGCCTCCAAGCATATGAAAATGCAGCTGTCAAAGCTCTTTAGCGCTATTTTAGGGCTAAATACGTCAGGTTTTCTATACCAGACATATGACATTCATACTGATTGATAAACTACTGCTTTTATCCCATTCTCCTGGTTTACATCTATCTGGTTTAATTATTTTATTTCATAACATAGAACTATTTAGGTTAAGAAGCAGAAGCCTGCTGGTATATGCCTTCCTTTTCAATCTGAAAATGTCAAAACGTGTTCATTAGCCATGTAAACAGCTCTGGGGACATTTTTTATAAACATTGTTCTTTTGAACACTGTACCTGCAGGGCTCTAATGTGATCTGACACATTTTCCTGGGAGAATATGCGTACAGGCCTGTCTGTCTCTTGTACCTTCTCTGGAATAAAAATGCTATCGTGGGACACCGCTCTGCTTCCCAACACTCCAGCAGTGGCCCTAAAATGACACCATTCACCCAATTCAGATGATTAAAAACAACAATGGAAAAACAAAAGGTCATTAAACAATAAAGGTATACTGATTTTCCTTTTCCCTCAGAAATCACAATCTAACATTATATTTAATGATTTAGGCGCTTGTGGTGATCTATACAGGCTTTTTCCTCTGAAATAAAAAGGAAAAAGAGGATTACTTAGTACTCACGCTTTTCAGAGCCTTTCATGACCACCAGTTGCTCCATTACTACTACAATATAATCAACATCTGGCATATCCAGATATAATCTGCCAGAAATTACATATTAAAAGATGTATTAAAAAGAACATACACTGAGACACAAATGGCTTTAAAAGTGCTTCTGGTAGAGAAAGAGATAAAGCTGAATCGTTGTGATGTCCTACAATAAATAGAATTAAAAAACAAATCACATAAAAAATTACTCTAAGTCAAGGGTTGCCAAAAAGTAGATCCCCAACAGTTTAACCCCTTAAGGACACATGACATGTGTGACATGTCATGATTTCATTTTATTCCAGAAGTTTGGTCCTTAAGGGGTTAAAGGCATCACAGGATTTGTAGTTAAAAAGCTAGATATACTGTTAGGAAACCCTTTTCTAAACAGAGTGAGTCTACAGTACATTTCAATAAGTTTCAATTAATACAATACTGTGACGAAGCGCCCTTCGCCGCTTGTGCCTGGAGAGGACTACTTGCCAGCCTCTTGCCATGTGATTATGATCCCTGGGAGATTTGGCCCTTTAAAAACGATATTTGGGCAGATTGTATTTTATTGTGCTGTTTCTGGCCCTTTAAGAACTGTAGTTGGGCTTATAGACTTGTATTGGACCGTGCTGGCCCTTCAAGAACCATCTGGGGACATACTGAGACTTTGTGTGACAATGCCCCTTTAAGACTATGTCCCCAGACCTTTAAAATACTTTGTTCCTGGCTTTCTCTCACTTAGTTCAGTAAATGGGGCTTATTGAACCAAGTACCACACAGCCGAACCACACAGAAGTGGAAGTGTGCCGTCAATTTACCTCCCAGGTTGGGAGCCTGCTGTAGGTAAATTACCAACCGCTGGGTGGCCGCCGTTCGCACAACACGTGGCGGTTGCCATCTTTATTAATTCGCACGTGGTCAGTGGTGTGTGCAGCCAAATTCATGGAACTAAAATCGGCTGCACATTTCAATGAACACTGCTGACCCTTACCTTCTCCTCCACTGAGTGTGCAGCCGCAGAGACTAAGTCCCGTTCGGCGATGGGACTTAGTCATTTTTTTCAGTGTGAAATAGACCGACCGCACAGCCCAAATCTATGGAACTGTTTTGGGCATGAAAATGTGCTTGTGGTCGGTCGTAAAGGACTTCCAGCTAACTTTTTAACCCCTGGAAGGAATTGGCTGAATTTTGGATATGTGTGCAATTAAAGTGTGCTGAGTATTAATATTTTTTTTATTTAAAAAACAAACAAACAAAAAAAGAAATCCCTTTTTGACCGACTGCAAGCATGGCTTGGGCGTGGTAAGCCAATTATCTCCAGCATACAGGAAATATCTCACAATATTCACAACATTCACAACAACAGTAAAAACACATAAAAATACAAAATCCTATTATACTGAACAGAACCCCCACATTCAACCTATCCCCTGATAGCTTGGATCTGAGCGCTCAATATATTTGAACAGCGCTCAAATAGCTTGGATCTGAGCGCTCAATATATTTGAACAGCGCTCAGATCCCACAAACAGAATAAAATCGCCATGGGGTTAAAGTTTAGTAAGGGCCATACACAGTCCAATAGAAGTCCATAAGCCCCAATACTGTTTTTAAAGTGCCCAATCTCCCAGGGGCCATAGTCCCAAGGCACGAGGCTGGCAATCAGTCCCCTCCAAAAAACTGTGGCCGCTTTCGCCACAGATACGATATACGATATCGCAAAGAAGCACAAAAAATAACCGAGGCTGCAGCAAAACATCAAACATTGAGTTCTTCACAATTCTAATTTCTGTTTAAAATGGTTCTGTTGTTTCTCAATACTTCATAAAGATATTATGTTTATGAAGTACTCATGCTGACTGCATTGGAAGTTTACTGAAATTCCAATACAATCCAAAGATTACCATAAGAGAAAGTAGGGACTACTTTGGGAAGTTAAAAACGACATTAAAATGTAGTGCTTTTGGTTTATAAATGCTGGTCCATTTCTCTAAAAATTTTATACATTGCCATTTCAGAAGAATTGCAATTTTTTATATTTGTCTGAAAACACATCTATAGTTACTGTCAGACATATAATCCCTAGTGGCTCTTCCTCCTTAAGACTTCCAATCAAAATTGGGCTTTATGTATGTCAACATCACACACAGCATGATAACACCGAAGCATTTTCTGTGAGATGCATCGGTCGGATGGGCAGTAAGTGTTAATAACTGTGCTTGTACCTTGTGTCCCCAATTCTTCTATATTAGAAGCAATAATCTTCGCAGTAAAGAACATATTTAATAAAAATATTTTTTTAGTGTCCCCTTAAGTGATATATTTAAGGTATGTAATGGCAACATTTTTAAACAATAGTGTGTGTCTAATAAAAAAAATACTACCAAAATATTTAGTTTGAATACTTCAGTATACTTGTTTCATTTTATTAAGCGTAGTATCACCATATAAATATATAGGTAGTGATGGGTAAATAGATAAATACAATTTTGTAGGGAAATACTTAACAAACACTGACATAAGTCAGCAATGGGTAGCATTCTTCTCTTAGAATGACCTACAACATGAAAGTTCAGAACAACAGATTAAGATAGCTCTGTGTTTGAATTTCACTGAAACTATGGAATAATTTGTCTTAAACATGAGCAAAACGGGAGCTAAGGAGGAGCTACCACCATCACATTTTGTTAATTCCTCCAGCCATCACTAGTGATGGCTGATCCTGAGACAATAACTGTCTCTCTGGATCTACCATAGACATCAGTGCTGTACTCTCGCGCATGCACTGATGAGGACTTCTAGTGGTAGAAGCACAGAAGCACCAGGTGTTGAAAAAAAAGAAGGCAGTGCCACAATGCACTGCAACCAGTAGTACCACATTACTATAGTTCTATATCTAAACTACATTAATATATCTTACTCAATTTCATCCTCAGAATCATAATCCAAATCAGTGGAAATTGGCATGGTGACATCACTGGCAGACTGACTCTGTTTCAGACCGCTGCTTCCCATATCCGGCAGTACTTCTTTCCTTTTCTTTTTGCCAAAGAACTTTTTGAATGATTTAAAATTGAATTTCTTTTTTGCTAAATAAAAAGAAATAAACAATTAAGGCAAATCATTCTGACCCTACATATGATCTATAATGTGTTGTTTTAAGAAATAGCTACTGGCTTTTCAAACATAGGCCTCAATTTAATATTTTTCACAAGCTTTTCAAAATTATTTAATATGCTTTTAGAAGGATTTTTTTTTAAATATTAAAATATCAAAAAAATATCATATGTAAAAAATATACCAATATATGAAAGCATATAAAAATATTTTTCAAAATATGAAATCATTTAAAAAGTCTATCCAAAAATATGAAATCATAAGAAAAGCTTTCCCAAAAATATTAAACCATTTTTTTTGTTTTCTTTGACAATTATGGTTTCTATTGCTGTAATTGTTAATTTAACAAAGGGTCAACAAATATATAAAATTTGCATAACTTATAACAACCTGCCTGAATTTGCATTTTTCAGCTGTTTAAACTTGCAATAACATGGGGTATATTTGTAGATTATTTGACTGTATACCAAAGGGTAAGCAACTTACTTGTGCTAACGGTACCTGCAGCTGTGACTGATTGTTCCTGCCGTCTAATCAGCTGTCAGTGTAAAGCACCATGCACTTACAGGGATACACCCTTTATATCATATGGCATGCTGCATCGTGTTTTTAAATTTGCTTTTATCACTGAAAAAACGTATAGAGTTGTCCGCCAAGGGACTCTCCAAGCTCCAATAAAACTTTATTATTATTGATATGTTGTAATTTTTTGCAGGCTCAAATCTTTATAATTTTGTATGCAAAAATAACAGCATATTAATGAGGCCAAAACAATCAAATGCATTAAAGGAACACTATAGGCACTATGACCATTTCATCAAATTGAAATTCTTATAGTGCATTATGGAGTCCACTGGCACTGTCCATCCAAATAATACTAAGCCATTTTTGAGCAATTTAATGCTTATTAAAGGCATGCAAAAACATACAGCTAACTAAGACCAAAAGCTACTAATAACAAAAAGTTATGTTGGTTCTTGGAGTGTCCCTTTAAGTGCTTCAAGATCCCTAAGCTGAAGATTATGATAGGCTTTGGAATTTTGTATATAGAACGCATTTTGTATCATAAACAAAATTGGGAGGAAAGGTGCAGAAGCTGCCAGGTCCTATATTAATCTGATCCAGTCGAAGGCTTCTCTTCTTGATACTGCTCAAATGTTTCAATATTATTTTGTAATCTTCCTGTGACTTTTATTAGGTCTGTAACACCCTTTTCAGGTTTCATATTGAACAAATGTTGCGCTTTTTTGTATTTTTTTTTATTTTAATGACGCTGGATTTTTTTACTAAACTTAAAATAAAGATTGTAAAAAAAATAATCTCACCCTGCATTTAACATGACTATTAATTGATACTTGAAAACAACTACCTGTAAACATTGTGATATGTAGATCTGCTTAGACACATCAGAAAGACTAAGAAGAACTAAGTTCTAAATACACCATATTCTAATAATGTTCAGCTATACATGTCCAATATAATAGCCCATAAGGGATATATCTATTATTGACCTTAGCCAAAACATGTACACTGTTTATTTTATTTCACTGCTAAAGATTAAAAATGCAAGAGGGGAAGATAACGTCCTATTCTTCATATATCATTCTTCTTTTTTTGTTAAATTTGTTTAATGAAATTTTGCATCCAGATTTATTCTTTTTAATTTAACTAATCAAATAATAAAAGTAAATTGGTGGGAGCAGATGTAAAAATAGGCAGTGTTGACATTAATTATAGAAAAGGCTTTCTGGAGGCTGTGCATGCTCTAATCCAATCAGCCCTCAATATCATTTTTGAAACTGCAGTGTGCTTACTAATAAAAAGTAATGTATTTAGTAAACATATCTTAACTAAATGGGGTTGTCATGCCAAAATGGCAATTTATAAAAAAGTAGAAGGAATCGATAAACAATGACACAATTGCTGGATCCCAAGCATTTTAGTGATCCTATAATGCTAGGCAAATCACATGGAAAAAAATAAACAAGAAAACATATCCACAAGTGGCCACATGGGGTGTTTTTTTGTTATTTTTTTTTATTATGTTATCAAGTCTCATAATTCGCCTTATCCTTGAATTAGCAATGGGATATAAATAGATGTATGGTATTTCTTGTTTCTCTGCCCAACTGCTTATCTCAATGTTTGGGGAGTGAGATTCATAAAATTTGTGTGTATGGTATCCCAACCATTTTGTTAAATCAATATAATCTTTTACATGTTTTTTAAAAACTTTTTTATCACATTGAACTTAAACAAAGGGGTAGGAAGGGGAAAGTAAGGATGTTGAAGCAATAACTGTTGAGATATGGAATTGACTGGAAATATTGTGGTACGTTGTTCTTGTAGGGTCAGAATGATGCTACCTTCAAAAGAAAATTGTTAATTTTCCTAGAAAAGAATTAGATTTTCAAGGTTGAATGAAATTACTGAAATGTAGCTTTGATTCAAAGAAACATATTACTGCGTTGGAGTCTAACTGGATTAAGAATATTTCCAAATTAAGCTTATAGGCAGTATTCGAAAATACTAGTGGAGTTTAGTGGCTGAAGTTACAGAAATAACATATATACTCCTATCCACATTGCAAGCATCAGTTCAGTTTTCAAAAGCGCTCTCAGAAAGTGGCTCACTGCACTGCATTGATTTTGCAGTCCGAATGGCCCCATATGGGCTATGTAGATCTTAGTAAATAGACCTGCTTCTGCTGTATTTAACAACAAAATATAATGTGCACTGAAAAGTTGTTATGACTATGAACAAATTTATGGGATCAGTACAAATGAGCAATCACAATGCAAATTCATGTCACATACTCAGTGGTTGTGGCTGTGTTATGCAGGTTACTATTAACCCTCTGTAGACATTCTGAAATCTTGTGACAATCCAAACGAACAGACATTGCAAATCATAACCTGAAGATATAGTTTGGCTAATTTGAGATAGTGACAATAGTTTCAAAGCATAACAACAAGAGTCATTTCTTTTTACCAAAGTGGATAAAACAATAAATAATTCAATATTTCATGAATATATCAACTTTATTTATTTTTAATTTTTATTTTAAGTCTTTTATTGGTGGTACCAACTGGAATACACACAGTAGTAAACACAGCATTAAAGTGAAAAGAAAACGGTGTCCCAGTTAAAAAATCTTGTTATCATCTGCCCATCGCAGCAGTCACTGAAGATGTTCTTTCGGGTTAGATCAGTTTTAGATTTTTGTTGGCATATCACATTTATGGCATTTCACATAAGTTAAACATGAAAAACCTTGAGAGAAGAAGTGGTGAGGAAATAAAAGAGTTTGTAAAACTAGCTGAGATAGAAAGAAAGGGAAAGAACAAAGGAGGGGTGCTGCTATTTGAGGGGATATGAGTCTTAATGCAGGAGTGATCTTGTGGCCTTGAAGTAGGGTGGGGTGAACTCCAAAGTGCATGTGTTCTGGCATAGATTATAAGGTAATCGCTTTGTGATGGGCCACGTGCATGAGTAGATTTTGGCAAAAGTCTTGCACATAAACATATACATAGCTCAGTTTTTGTGGATATTTTTTTGTCTTCCCTTTGATTTCAACTCTCCTTCCCCTCATGCTCCCATCTGCCCTATAACGATCAAATATGGGTGTAGGGTAATAATAGGACAGGTCCATTGTGGCTCATCAGAGCAGTCTGGATTTTCAAGGGTCCCAGCCTTCCCATGCTTTCATTAGTTTGCCTTTACGATCTAAGTTCGCAATTGTTATCCTCTTATACATTTCTTTTGTAGATACCTGCGCTATTATTTTTCCCTTACTGGGGGCCTCCCTAGAGTTCCAAGCTCTGGCTAGAGCCAGATTAGCTGCTACCAATGGATTGAATATGATATGGCTGTGGTGTTTGGGAGTTTTGGCCAGTAGAATAAAAAGCAAGCACATTTTGGCTTTGAGCTGGAGAGAATGGTCAGTAGCTTTGTTTCTGTGTTCCCTTAGCATCTGCCAAAAGGGCTGGATCATTCCCACCATATGTGGAGCATTATTCCCCTCCCTAAATGGCATCTCCAGCACCTGTTTGATCTAGACTTATCTATATGTGCCAAGCTAACTGGGACTAAGTACCAGTGGCTTGCTGTTTTCTTGATGAGTTCTATATGAGAGGTACAGTATCATAGGCCCTTTCGTAATCGGGAAGATTTCCACCATTGCTCTGGAGTGAATGTGCAACCTAAGTCTTTTTCCCATTGTGTCGTGTGTGATGGTAGAGGTGTCACTGTATCATAGCAGACTGATATTGTCCTATGTTGAGGAATTTTGTTAGCACACATTTGCTCTATAAAGGAATAACCCAGTCCAAGGACAACTGTGATTGATCTAGCCTGTCTCGTCCCTAGGTAAGATTTAGGTTGTAGGTACGGGAGAGTCATGGAGTTCGATAAATTACGGTCAGTAGTCAGTTGAGTGTGGGTGAGGAGGGAGTTCTCATTCCACAGTCGGTATACAAATCTTAGTCCACATCCTTCCCAGCCCCTGCTGTCGAAGGTAGGAATAAGATACTTGAAGCATTTTATAGGGTTAGCAAGGGAAATAGGGGAATATGTCAACTTTTAAACTAATAAACATACAATTCATTGAGCAAAACCAATTCCTTGCATTTTCTGATTTCTTACCTGAACCATCTTCTGCAAGATTTTCCGTTTCTCTCAGTTTAGAATCCATTTGAAATGAAGTATTGAGTCGCTATCTAAAAATAGTAAGAAACAAACATGAACATAATGAACATAGTAATATTATATAGTCAGACTGCAATACATATATATATATATATATATATATATATATATTAATAATATGTGAAAAAAAACAACAAAAAAAACACCTAACTTTGCAACACTTCTTTAGTCAATATGGGTTGTTGGGGGCTCTGTTGTGACCAGACCCCTAGTGGTGAAGCTAGAGACCTGTTTTCATGAACGCACACACAAGTAATTAGTGCTCCTAGTGGACAGATGTTGTATTAAAAGGGGAATTTATTTTTGTATTATACAGTGGGGAGATATGTGAGAGACGGCATGGGCTATAGCTATAAAGCTGATGCTCCTGTGCTAGATTTATTATTATTTTTATTATTTTATTATTTATATAGCGTCATCAGATTCCGTAGCGCTGTACAAAGGGTGGACTAACAGACATTTAATTGTAACCAGAAAACTTGACGTACAGGACAACTCTCTAAATTGACCCCAAACGTAACCAATGATGGTAGAGAGGGAATTGATAAAGTGGGGAGAATCTGTGGTTAATTACTAAACAACTAGATTAAATAATGTCAGTCCAGAGATAATCTGTAGCATAGGGAAAGAGAAAGCAAATGCCACTCTCCTTTTAATTATGCATTTCTTTTCATTTAAATGTTGTTTAGAAGGGACAATGTCTATACACATTATGGGTTTGACCCCATCATGGAAAATATTCCGTGTGAATCAAGTCATCACCAGATATTTTGTGAAGAAGAAACTACAATTGCTATCAAAAAGATATCCTGAGTGACCAAGCTGGCATAATGTGTACATCCCTACTCCAAAGGGAACCCAGTGTTCAGATGCTTTGTCAAGAAGATACTACACTTGTATTGTATTATTATTATTATTGGCACTTTATTTATGAATTACATTTTGCATTTATCTTAGTACCAGCAATTTGATTCACACATTATTTATGGTTCTTATTGAAGCCAACATACCTTTATTTTTTTACACTGACTCTATTTATATTAGATATCACTACAAATTTGGGCCCTTTTGTTTTTTTTTTTTCTTTTGGCCAGTGAATATCTGCATGTGAAGAGAGTTGCCACTCTTTGTACCATGTTAGTCAATTTTTTATTAACTTGATTGAATTTTAGATATGTGACGGCACTTGTGTTGTTGTTTTTATATGATGTACCATGTTTTATTTCATGTTAACAGTTTTCACTTAATTTCAGTGTAACCATCTTTTGACAATTGTAATTAACCACTGTGGATGTTATTTATATCAGTGTATCTCACTGTTTATTCAGACTAGACAAAGGCACACGGTAGTGCTGAAACGTCTTTTCCCCTGAATTCCAAATACAGGAAACCATTGGGTGTGCCCGGACGTATGCTTTTGTTCCAGATGGATTGTTTGGGAGTTGGCCCTCCTGGTTTGGAGCACATGGATGGGAGTATTCCCCAAGTGAGTGTGTGCATTGCCTCTTACACTCTGCAACTGTATGCCAAGTTGGCATAATGAAATGAACTTCATATCCTAACTAATAATGGGCTTAACCTGCAATGGGTTCAGGACCCCACCCCTATCCAATGCTTAGTAAGCAAACTATACAACAATTTATAGTGCTTACAAGGCTAATATATATATATATATATATATATATAATGTGTCACGGAACACCTGGAGAGGCTGGTGCGCTGCGCTCACTTACCAGACGCTTTATGGATTTTGGCGTCCTGGGAGTGAGGGACGTGCCAAGCACTCCTTTTGGCCGCCAGCTTATAACGCAGCACTTCTGCAGCATGCCATGAGTGCAAGGCGCACCGCACTCTCTCCTCACCCACCGGCCCCTGCAGCCACTTCATGTGGGTTGCGACATGCAGGGGAAGGCAGGCATGCCTTATCTACCCTTATGCCTACCTCTGCTCCTGTGGGCATGTTGGGTGATATGTGCTGTGTGTTTCCCATGCTGCTCCAGGATAAACTGGGGAATCCAGCTCAGCAAGCGCAACATGGAGGTTTGCAAGTTAAATGAACACACTGACATAGCGTCCTACCCACATACTCCCCAGAGGAGCCTTCAAAATATATAGGGCCTGAGACCCCTCCATGTGGTAGTGCTCGTATTGCCTCTCCCATATTTAACCCCTTAAGGACTGAGCCAAATGTACACTTTGTGACCAAAACAAAACGTAAACAAAACCTGGAATTTGCGCTATATGTTTGTTCAGGCGTAATTCACCTCGAGTGTAAGTGTTTGTGACTAAGGGGCTACTAAAAAAGACTGGACATATCCCATTTGCAATACCTTAGGTTGTCTACTATTGCAAGTAGTATGCCGGTATGCCATCATGGGAGTAAATTTCATTCCTGGGCTACCACACGGTCTCAAAGGCAACGTAACCAATCTGGCAAATTTCAATGTGAAAAAACTGAAACGTAAGCATTATATTTGACTTTTGAAAACACCATAAAACCTGTACATGAGGGGTACTGTTATACACGGGAGACATTGCTGAACACAAAAATTAGTGTTTCAAAACAATAAAACGTATCAAAACAATATCTTCCGTGTAAGTGCCATTTGTGTGCTAGATGAGGATGCCAGATAAGTCCCCACACTGCGATCGCCAGCGTGGAATCACCGGTGACCGGGTAAGTAGAGAGGACAGCAGGGATGTGCCATGCTGCCCCCAAGCGTTTAGAGCATGGTCCCTAAGGACGGCATAGCACGCACGCCATCCTTAAGGGGTTAAGCACAGAACCCCCTAGGTCCTGTGTTCAGTTGTTTTGTTGTCTCCCTAGAGTGCAGAGCCAGATCCTGCCTGAAGCTATCTGATTACCCTCACCTGCCTGGACTTCCTGAATTAAACCTTGCCTTCCTGGAATCTGGTTATCCTCTTTGCCTTCTGGACTCTGGTTAACCCTGGCAATCATGTTCCTGTGTGGGTTAACGCCAGCAATCATATTTCTGTGTGGGTTAACGCAAGCAACCCTGTTCCAGCCTTGGTTAACGCCAGCAATCCTGTTCCAGCCTTGGTTAACACAAGCAACTCTGTTCCAGCCTTGGTTAACGCCAGCAACCTGTTCCAGCCTTGGCCAGACCACCAAGCTGAGCGGCAGCCATCTCTGGGGGCTCCGACTTCAGGTCCCTAAAACAGTGGATTTTCTCTTTATTGAGCCAACTAACACCCGGTAAAGACATATGCAGGCAAGAGCTTCATGGTGACTTCAGTGGTGCTGGGGATGTGCAGGAGGTGAATGGTCCGCGGACTCTGGCTTTTATGATTTCTTTTTTATGATTATTACTTTATAATTGTTTGTTTTCGATTATAAAGTAATTTTTTTGTATTTTATGCATTTGCATATATATTCTATATAGTTCTCTCTCACTTGATTGAGAAACTATGGATATGGAAAATATGGATAGTTGTACACTGCAGGTTGACCACTAACCCCAAAGACAATATTTGTGGATACAATTAAGGTGTATTATTAGAAGTTTTGATTTAGTAGATAATCCACTTCTTGCCAGAAGTTTCACTCGGGACATGATTCACTTCATATGCAATCATGTACCTAAATAAATATATTTGGCAGTTGATCCTTATATATGCTTTATACAGTATTCACAGCAATTGATGTAAATTATGACCTTAAGCAGAAAAACTGGTTTAGTATGTTTCTAGCATGTACAGATTCTGATACAACTGCCGACAGCAACTATGTAAGAAACATTTAATATTTCTACTAAAGCCCGGAGAGGCCATGTATTTTTAATTTTTTTTACTTGTTTTCTCGAAAAAACTACTTGTTTTCTCAAGGTAACAATTTATTTTCTCGAGAAAACAGGTCAGAAAAATATTAAAAATACATTGCCTTTCTAGGCTTCTGGATATGTAGAGAAAAAAACCAAATTAATCCACAATTTAAAATTCTGATATACCACATGACCTTAATAGCTTCAAATAATTTTTTTTTATCAGAATCAATTGCTTCTTCTTTGATGCAAAACTGACTTTAGACAGTAATACCAGAGATATTAAGGAATACTGATCACAATATTTAAGTTTATGGGGTGTTTTTTTTATACAAATATAGATCTTATCACACACGATTCTAGCTTTTCACAACTGGTAATTGTATTTACAATCAGACTTTTAACCAAATGGGACATTTTGACTACTTTGACAACTCTGGGGTTGAATGGTGCTCACAGAAATTTACATAGCAAGTAAATGATAGGAGGAGGATAAAGAAAGTTGCAAAGGAAGTAAGATGAATTAATTGCATTCCTAAGAAATAAACTTGCAGCTGTATAAACTGGGGTTTCTACCTGCTTCACATATAATGAACATTGTTGAGGATGTCTTAAAAATGCATGTCTGACAGAGCCACTCAGACACTCCAAAGTAGCTTTAGTGTAAAGTTCTGGAATCAAAGAAAAGCTGGTCATTGAGCCCAGCGATTGTCGTATCAAACTGTTTCCATTTAATCAAACAATTCACAAACCAAAAGTATAAAAACTCAAATAGCTCCTCCTTGCTTATGTTAATATGCTGTTCGAGCTAGGCGTAGGCGTAGAGCTAGGCATAGAGATGAGCGGAGACAGAAGTGAATATTGAGATTTTGATTGACTGAGAATTGAGTGGTGAGCAGAGCAGAGAGGAAGAAGGAAGGCAGAGAATATAAGAGCAATGGGCACAGTAGACTGATCAGGTAGACCAGCAAGGAATGTAGAAGTCCTGCAGCCAGCATAGCAAACAGAAGGACTATATAGCTGCTGGATTGATGTTATATACACACAGTTAAAGGACCACTCTAGGCACCCAGACCACTTCAGCTTAATGAAGTGGTCTGGGTGCCAGGTCCTTCTAGGGTTAACCCATTTTTTAATAAACATAGCAGTTTCAGAGAAACTGCTATGTTTATGAATGGGTTAAGCCTTCCCCTATTTCCTCTAG